TAGATTCTACTAAACTTTACATCGGGACATCTACTCTATCATTGTACTAGCCTTTAGCCGACCTCAGGCTCATTTTTACAGACAAAAAATGAAGTTGTCGGATACTATCATTTACCAAGATGCCTTCTTTAGTATGTCCAAAATCAATGAGTGCAAAACCATCAGCAACAAATACAAGCCTCAAAGTAATCGCTGGAGGAAACCTAAAGCCATATTAAATTTGTCAGCTACAGACCAGATAGCGTACTTAACCACTCATATGTACATACTACTTAATGATAGCCTAATACTGTAGTTTCATCTTCGACCCTCCTTTTAAATATGGACGTAGGGAGGTTACAGGAACTTTTATCTACAATGACCTGTTCTTTCAAAAAGTTGTTGAAATGTATGGAGCTACATCGATTCATCTACATCTCAAATGCTCACTAGCTTGGATGCTAATAGGCCAACTTTCTTGAAATTTTTATGAATTAATTTTAACTTCCTCCATAGGGCTGGCAATAACACTCTGAGTATTAAAAGCACCTTTTAAATGTTTTAATATTCTTGTAATGTTCTTTCATTTGATCATAATTCTTTAAAAACTTCGTCTTATTTTGTGGATTTAATATGTATTGTGTTGATTTATAAATCCCATTTCATCACTTTTTGAATGTGTGGTATGGATTTCGTAGATTGTAGATTTTTAAGTGAAACTTCTTATTCGATTTCCAACAAGGTTGCGTCAAACGTTTTACTCTCCTGGGGTGGGGCGGCGGAATGTGTGGCAGTGGAACGCATGCGAGCAATCAATTTTGACTTGTAAGTAATGTTAATCAAGTTTTTCTTAAAGAATATCTAAAGATTTCTTAAAAATTTATTCCTACCCCTTCCTGTTTTCATTTCAATATAACGGAATAACACTTTTTCCGCGCGGAGAGTCTCCCCGCACAATTATTATGTACATCAGAGTAAACTCTAAACTACTAAAAATTATTTGGGTGCATTTATTGCACCCAAATAATTTTTAGTCTTGTTCTGCCATTCTAAATAAATCTTCTTTTTGATTTTCCCTCAATTCAGATTTTTTTATTGCTCTCGATTATTCACTTAAGTTGAAGCTTGTCCTTTTATGTAATCTAATAAGAGCCACTCAAATCTTTTTGCCATAGAAACGGTGGTTTTAGGAAAACAAGTGTTAACGACGAAATCAACATGTTTGTTAATAATTTTGCTATGGTTTTTTTGATACATGATCATTTCTTATAAAATCCTGTTAAATGATAAACATAAAATTAATTAAAATTGAATTACGAACCTTCGCAATGTAAGGATAGGACAGTAGTGCAAAGCCGTTTTATGTCCTTAATTTCTGCACTGAAACCCTCGCAGTGAATACAAATTACAATGATCATAAAAAGATCCACGGCAGTCAACAAAATTAGAGTCATCAAGTCTATCCACGCGATAAGCTAAAAGATCCAACATTGTTTTAATGTTATGAATAAGATTCTGAAGTAGAAAATCAAAGCTTATTGAGGAAAACTATTTCAGTGAAATGTATACCCACGTTATATTTCATCAATAATAATAGATATTCGAAAGCCAATACTGCCCATGACACAAATTTGAAACAAAATAGTAAAATCTGAAATATAAACTGATTGTTGCAGCTCCATTGGATACATTTTAAATGGTAGATATTATTTGATAGATGGTAGAGTTTATAAGTATAATGACCTGCCATCTGTACAATTCTTGAAAATGGAGATGTGCTTCAAATATATCTTTCAAATATTCATCAATTTTACAGGTGCTAAAATCGTGAATGCTTGCCACTAAACAACGAATGTTTCTTCTAGTAGGGTTGAATAACTTAGAATTATTTTCTTTTTTGATAGGTAAGCCTTTGAGATGATTCCTTATTATAGCGTTAATGTAGCGAAACCGAATACAGAAATATAATATGGTATTAGCACAAACCATCAGTTCTATCAAACTAGTTAGCTGACAGAAAAAGAGACCAGAAAAGCTAACAAATAATTCTATACTATATATGAACACCATAAAATAAATAATTAAGGATATAACAATTAGAAATACTACCGAACAAAGATTAGCATTGTATAAAAAAATGTTGCATTCATTATTATCAGCAATTTTCAATTTGCGATCTATTTTTTGAGTCATAATGTAGAATTTTACATTTCTCTCATTATTCATAAACCTTATATGGATAGTATCCAAAGTGTATAGGATAAAATTAAGGATCGAAAACATGACGGTTATAGTATATATGATTGGATACTCATAAAGTACTGAGATATAATTATATATAACATATAGTTTCCCAACTGCGACTAGAATTAAAATTATGACTGTATAAGCTTTTTGGAGCCATGTTGGCGGTGTAACAAATCTGTCTCTTGAATCTATTCTACATGACCCAACAATTAATTGACAAAAACGAAAAGGCGCAAACAATTTTAAATGGCCCTCGTCCAAAAGATCGTCTGACAAGTATTCTGTTTTCATGATTTTTTGGTTGTATTAAGAGATAGTCCATGAAGATAACTCAAATGTATACATCTGATTGTAGTAGATAGGATAGAAAGATCAAACTGCAAGGTAGCAATGGTGTATATAGTAAGAATGATATGAGTAATGTGCAAAGTTATCATGAAGTATAGATACAAAATTCTGTTCGTCTTTCACCGGGTTTAATCTGAAAAAAAAGATTGCTGGGTATGTTTCACTACGTAATCAACAAAATTTCTTATTGTTCATAGTTAATTAAATTACTGTATTTATAAGAAAACAACTTACATTTTTAACAAATATATGAACACATTTATCTACAACTTTCTTTTATTGGTGTTTCCGACATAATAAGAAGGTAAGAAAAACAAATATACATACTTACATTAAAATGATCATTATTTCTATGATTACATCAAAAGGTCCATTAAGTTGATTAAATTCTAACATAAATCTAATATTGTAAGTCGTGTTCTACTTTTAATAATAATATCCAATACTTACGGATAAAATATAGAGTATGTACTATAATTTATCTCCTTTATCGATGAAGTACCGATTCGATCACAAAATTATATCCTACATGCAAAATAATATGTATTTAATTTTTTTACTTTTCCAAGTTACAAACTTAATATGTATATAATCAACTACCATATTCTTATATAGAACCGAGGCCACTGTATTAAAAAAATACGCTTATCACAAAGCTTAATTTAACTAGACGCAGTCAGTTTTAAGTCTTCCTTTTATATGAAACTAAGACAACTTTAAACCTATTTGTACTCTCTTGATCTGATTCTTTCCATTTTCGTCACCTAATACATCCATCTCAATTTTTGCAATTTTATCTGAATACAGTTGCTGCAAACTGACCGAAACGCAGGTAGTATGTAGTTTAAAAATAATAAAAAACACGGAGTGTTTTTGAAATCTTAATTTTATTCATCTGTACCTATATTATTGTTTTCGATATACAGAAGTTTGGGCTATTTGGAAGCTTTAGTTTAAAGATAAAATTATTTTAAAAGTTTTCCATCCGCGCATGGATGCTTCGCTAGGAATCTGCACAAGATCGCTAGAAGGGAGGCGATCCCTGTCTGTCATCACTGTGACGAGCCGATGGACACTGCTCGTTACACGCTGGAGGAATATTCTTTATAGACTTGTCACCCGCAGAGTCCGCGGACATGATTGACGAAAACCTCTCCACGACTAGGGGCGAGATAAGTGCCACGACTAGGGGCGAGAAATACTGAGTCGCATGGCCTCTTTCTGCGAGCAAGTGATTGCAAATGCTGCAAAGGAGGTCGCAGCAAGAGACAGGCAGTCAGCTTCTTTCGCTGATCCACTCCGTTGAGGGAGCCTTGGAAGAAGGAGGCGGCTATACAGTAGTCACCTCCTTTTAATTTTAGCACTGGTATTTGATATCACACTTGTCTTTAGACCTTCCACCCTCTGAAAATAACACTGTAATGGCGTCTTAGTCTTCGGGGATGTCTCGTTAGGGAGGTAATTCCGCAGGGGCATCGCGGTGTATGAGGATCTTTTTTTTTAGAAAATTGGTAAGAAATGAGCGTTTTCATTGTGAATCACATAACTACGAGTATTAATTATTGTTATACAACTTGGTTACTTGTTATACAACTTATAGAAGTCAGCGGTGTCCTAGTATTTAAAGACGCGCCGCTCGTGCACGAGGGCGCTTGTTCGATCCTGGCAAGTACCAATGTGATTTTTCCGAGTCATATGTACTTTCTAAGTGTATTTAGACATCACTGACAGACGGAAAAGGAAAACAACGTGAGGCAACCTGGAAGTTTGAAATCACCAACCAATCTTGAGCAAGCGTGGTGACTAAAGCTCAAACCTTCTCCGTGTGAGAAAGAGGTCTTTCCTCAGCAGTGGGCTCTTATAGGTTGATGACGACGACAACTGTCATATATTATGAATTCTGTAACTAATATGAAGAAACTTAAATTCCTTGGTAAAAATAAGAATTGTTACATGACTGTAGGTCAATGGATGTAAATGTCATAGTAAATTATTAATATATCAACTTTGGTTATATTTATTTCTCAATCTCTCGGACCCACTTACATTAGTAGAATTTTATATTAATAAAAGGGTTCTGCCAAAAACTAGATTATTGAATGTGGCAAAGAAAAAGTAATAATATACTGGAACATTTTGTATAATAACTTTTTCAATTTACTCCTACTTTTTAAATTTAACTGAGATAAATTATAAAGTCCTTGTAAGTTTCTAAAGTTAATACATAATATGATATGGAAATAAAAGCCACAACTATACCTTATTTTTTAATTATTCATGCTATTCTAGTAACTACTACACATAATATGTGATATCATTATATGTAATATGAAAACAACATTAACACCAAGAAAACATTTCAGATGCAAAATAATAGATTCCAATATTCAACATACACTATACTACCCAACAATAAAATAATACATTTAATAAGCAAAACGCAAATTTTCAGAGTATCCCAATTTCTCCAAGGCTGGGTTGCAAGCAAAGTTGATCATGGGAGGTGGACCACACATAAGGGTCATGACATCATCAGCAGGAGAGAAGAGATTGTCCTTAATCATATGCTCATTTATAAACCCTGTACTGTACTTCCAATCTGTAACATTTAATTTATATTTACTAAAAATTGAGGAGCATTATTTTTAAAGAAAACTAATAGATTATTATGATGAAACATTCATTTGGTGAATTACTTAGTAAAGACTACACTCAGATAGTACAGATATATTATCTTCTAAGATAGGTATAAAAAGATATAACAATTTGTATAACACATTACAAATATAAATGAACTAAATAAGTTTTTATTTGTTACCTTTTTCAGCCCTATCAATTGTGTACCAAAGTCTGAACTGATCTGGATATTCACTTTGATACTTCTCCAATTCCGGTCTCACTAATATATCTTGTTCAGTTTGGTTAGCATACAGCAGTCTTAGTTGAGTATTGTCATTTTCATCTTTACATATCTGTCGGATCAGTTGTAGCATTGGAGTAATGCCAGTGCCACCTGGAATATGTTATAATTATAACCAATCATTAAAAAGCTGATAATAATGTTTATGATGGAAATATGCCTAAATTATTATGAAACTAAAAATACCAGACCAATTAAATTTATCTATATGTATTTATCTTAACAATAAACAATAATATAGATCTTTGTAATTTCCAAACTCTTTGAATGTATAGTATTGATTTTTTGAATTTTTTTTAATATAAAATAAAAAAATATATGTATATTCATAAGTACTCTTCTTCATCTTCCTGCCAATTTCCCAGCTTTAGTCAGGTTCTGTTGATTCATAAGTACTATAGCACTAAAAGTCCTAGTGTTACTTAATAATTTAAAAAATGAAGGCTATTACTTAAGGAGCACTAAAAATCATTACCAAATTAATTTTTTGTAGTTATTACTTGAAATATACTTATATATTAAATGACGTAGCTGGCATCTTGGACTAATAAAAGCAATGTTTACCTGCAATCATATTAAGTTTCTTCACAACAATTTTGACTGGTGGATCTTTTCTTAGTTTCTTTACTAATAATGTTCCGTTGCCAGCATATTGCAATCTTCCAGATGGTCCCCTCACATCAATTGTGTCACCGATTTTCATATTTTCCAGATACTGTGACATTTTACCACCTTCTGGGAATTTTGGGTGAACATTCTTAAAATACACCTGTAGATGAAATAAAAAAATATTAAATATTATCTAGTCCTTATTTACGAATTTAGAAGAACACTCTGTATTTATGTATAAATTTACTTATTATGTATGTGTTAATCTTCATTCATTATGTAAAATCATTATATAAACATTTTCATTATTTGTAATTTGTATAATTGCACAGTGGTAGTATTAAGAAATACATTTTAAGTTTAAAGCATAAAAAAAGCAAAATCATTTCCCTTAAATAGTTTCATATTTGTTTGATTTTAACTTTTCATTAATCAGTGTTTTACTTTTTTATCTCATAAAAATAATATTATAAATTTTATTGATTGCAAGTGACTTTATGGATCAAAGATAAGTGATAAAAATAAAATTAATAAATGAAATTTGTGTGTCGTTTTGTTATTTTAAACTAAAAGCAGTTTATATGAATTCTCTTATACAATTTCAACTATATGAATTACCTTGACAACAAGATCAACATAGCCTTTTTCATCATCACTAGATACTGGAGTGTATGACCTTATAATGAGATCATCATCAATTCGTACTGACAAGTGAATATGTTGTCCAACGGGCAGTCCTGTAAATATTAAAATTAATTATTAATATACAATAATTTAATTAAACTTTGTTTTTAAAGTGATGGCAATGTTGGTTAATTTGTTATTATATACATAAGATTAAAGTTTATTACAAAAAGTATTGATAAGGTAAACAACTTAAATGTATCTAGATATCTGTAGAAAGAACAACACTGTGATAATGTCAAGTCCTAGAAAATTGTCGGGAAGATGACTGTGGTAATTAGATTAAATTTTGTATCACCTAATTTCATACATTATTTGAAATTTGTGTATACATATATATTGTTTTTACTTTTACATATATAGTATATAATAAGAATATCTTTACATATATATCAGTATTTAAAAGATACTAATAGTTTGTTTCCTTTGTCTGAAGAAAATTTTGTTAATAATAGTTCACAAAAATACTACCGCAAATAGATGTTATGTAATTAAAACATTTTCAATTTTGAAGTACTAAAACTTAAAAAATAAGTCACATAGAAACCAATACCATGAGTGATGAGACTAGTGTTGTAATAAGCATATTATGTAAGTAAGATAAATAATATAATCAATTATGATAAGAAATATTTCATATCATTCTTAACATATTGCTAATGGTGATCTCAAATAATTCTATAAAATACAACTCTAGTTTTGAATCTATCATAAAATCCAAGCTTTATTATAACTTCACAACAAACAGCACTCACCCAGAACATGCTCAGGAGTTGGAAGTCCAAGTCTAAACCTTCTTGTATCATGACTTATAACCTCTTTTTCAATTAATGGCAGCGGGTACTTTGTGTTGGGGTCGACCAATGTTATAAGTTTCTTTTTGCTCTTTGAATTAGACTTTCTACCCCAAACATAGTTTGATACAACTGCTGTGATAACAACAACAGATCCAATTCCAATAACTACTGGAAAAACCTGTACATAATATTGAAATACTTTAGAATAAATGTTAAAAAACACGGTTATTTCCTAGTATGTAGTAATATCATGAGTTAACACAGGGTTAAATCAAGGTCATTATCTTAAAATTTAGAGTTTTCCTCGAGGATAAAACTTATAAAATAAGAAATATATCTCAAACGTTCATAAATATAATGAATAATTATTATAAACGGACATTGGAATAATTTTTGTAAAATATTATTATCATAGTTAGGCCATACCGTCGGTTTCTTGAATAGATCGTAAAATGCCGCCAGGTTATTCATGTTTTAGTCACAACACTGATAGGTATTCAAATGCAAAATTTATGTCAAAATTACATTTAGTTCAATAATAATCAAAATGTCTCAACAGTAGATGCTTTAGATTTAAAATACGTACTTAATAAACGTTAACAACAAACAATACGTTGTTACATTAACAAACGAGAAACACTGAACTAGTTATTAAGGTAAAATATAAACAGTCATTACGTACATTAACTATAACACTTTACTACACATAATAAATAAGAAAATCTTTCTTAACGTGTTTCGTTATCAAATCATTGCGTCACACTATGATAATTATTTAAATATCCATACCCAACCTCTACCCATAGAAACATATTTACTAACCTATAAGCACAACTTACAATTTTTGGATTAAAGGTTATACCGGAAATCATTTTGTTAATTAACAGTATTTCGATGTAGCAGTCTTCCGATTTTTTAATCTAGAATAGTGAAGACTGAAGAATTACACGTATGTTGTTTTTTTTGGTTTCCAATGATACAACAAACTAGCGCGAAATTATAAAATTCAAATTTTTACTCTATAGTCTGTTTGAATATTGCACAATAAATAAATGTAAGTTGGCGAGCGATGGAATTTATTTTAGTATTGGCGACTAGGACACAGCAGCTGAAGATGATTTTACCTCTCAATAATAAAAAAAACTAAAATAACTAACTATACTTTATAATTGTTAGAAAACTGAACAACAGCAATGATATCGGAAAAAATTATGACATGAGATAATTATCTTTGTTCAGTGTAGTTTTTAAGAATATGGATAAAATAAAAACGTCACATTTAAGACAATTCCTAATGTAATAAAATTATTTAAATACAAATCAATATGGTAAATAGTTGTTGTATTTATAAATAAAGTGCTTATTATTTTTAACATATTTCTTTCAGTTTATATTACTGTAGGTTATGAGCAGTAAGTTATGGTGATTCAATAGCGGTAGTTTCGCCAGCAACTGACAACTGTTATTATTACCTATAATCTCTGCAGTAATGCTTAATGCTTTCAATTAACATTCACTAGATTTTTTCTGTCATGTTGCGAGATATATAGTAGAGTATATATAATGACGGTTAAGGACAGATTAGATCATTTAGTTTCAGTCAAACATCAATTAGATCTCATTACGGTTAAGTACAGTTAATTTGACTGTTGTGTGTGTTAGATCGTGTTGTTAGGGCAATCTTGTCTGTATTGTCAGTTATTATTTTATCGTCAGGGTTTGTCTGGGAAGCCTCTTGTGTATGAGGTTTGGGTACGGGGATTCCACGACCGCTTTCACTACTAACAAAACCAAGTTCTTGGAATATTTATTTGATATAGTATTACTTTTTGACGTGTATTGCTATCGTAGGGAGTTGAAGATCCCTATGGAGATTGAAGTTTTTGATGTACAGGGCTGCGCCAGTGGCAATACATATGAATTTATTTTGCTCCACTTGTAGTTTTTTTTTATTGTTGAGGGACAGTCGTGGACGAAACTTACGCTTGCCTACGATATGGCAAGAAGTGTGTATGTCTTGTAAAGGTCTTATTTTTAAGACACATTTTATTTTTCTTACAGATCTGGGGCAAAGGTGACTCGAGAAGTTGGCTGCCCTAAATGTGTGATGACTGGATTGTGAGATAATTATCTAGGGTGACCCGTAGATATTTGGTTCGTTTTTGATAAATGATGATCGGTCGTATAATTGATTTTTTTTTTGTAATTGGATGCCAATGTAGCTGTTTCTACTAACGACGACTAGAGAACCGTTCTTGGGATCAATTTCTATCTTCCATCGGCCAAACCATTTCCCTAAGATGTAGGCTACTTGTTCAAGTCGGGAATCGACGTAGTCTAGGGATCAGGATAAAGACGTATAAGAGGGCGTTGTTGTCTGTGAATAGAGCTAGATGAGTTGGTATTTTTGGTATACAAATGTTGCTCGTGAATAACGAGTATAGAAATAGGAATAAGACAAAAGTCATTCATTAGGCTTGAATAAAGTGCACGAGTCTGTCTTGTCAGACAGGCTTGTCGTTTGGAATTAAGGTGTCCCTTTATTTCGAAAAGATTGCAAAGTAAGCCTTTGTGCTAGTCTTTATCGAAAGATTCAAATCCGAAAAAAAACGCTCTCTCTAAATGAGGTCGTCTATTTTAGTGTCCCTTGAGTTTTTGCTCTATTAAGCGGTGCACCGGGTGAATATTGAGTGCTTGGTTCGGAAGCCGAACTGTTCGATTGGTACAAGTCTAAGTTTTTCCACTTCTTGCTTTTGTTGATTGGAGATCATCCTTTCATAGATCTTTCCGTGAGTGTTAAATTCGCTAATCGGCCCGTAACTCCTCGTTAAATATTTTAGATTACCCGGTGTCTAAGTAAAATTCTTCATCACCGAAACAGTGTCACTTATCAGTCTCTCCAATGTCCCCAATGACTTATGTGTTGGAGAGAGCGATAAAAGTCGGAGATTACGTAGCACTCTGCGGTTTTCATCCGTCGGTGTTATCTCAGCTCTAGTGGCGGATTTTTGACCTTCCACGTCTCGCATTCATATAGCAGCACGGTTTTGACACTGGACCGGAATATTTTGACAGTTTTCAATATGAGCAACTCAAATAGATATATAAAAACGTCTGTCAAATAAAATATTAAGTTTATTGATATTCATTACACAAAACCATTCCTAGAATACCGTAAGAGGACTATTTTGATGACTTTTAAGTTAAATTTTAAAAATACAATAATAGTTTTCTGTAATAGTAATTTAATTACGTTACGTTTCACGTAAACCTTTCAAGTTTCACAATTCAAACTAGTTAAGGTGTCGTAATAATTTTGCAACGTGAGACTCTCATAGAGTAGACTTCTCATAGAGAGATACTCAATGTGCATGTTCCATTTAATGTTATTGTTTGAAAGTACCACAGCATAATTTTAAAGTTATGCTAAATTATTTTAAATGACATAAATAATAATGTCATCTAGAATCATGGAAATATGTATAATCACAAATCAGTACAAATATTATATTATAATGTTTTTATTTTGTTTTTCTATTAATTGTAGGGTATTGCTTTTTTACCATATTTAGTTTATTAGAAATAAAAGGGTAATGTACCACGGTTTTCCGACTCATATTTTAATGAATATTAAATTGAATGAAAATGAAAATAGAGTTATTATATCTTTTTAATATAAAACTACATATATCACATTGTATTGATCCAAAGGATTCTCGTCAACAAGGACAATTTTTACATTATTTACATATAACACTTAAAAATCACAATTAGCCGTTTGTTCTGATAATTTCTTTAATACTTTGCATAACGCCGGTAACAAGTACAAACATTCCAAATATGGCAAGAATACTATCTTTTATTAAAATATAGTTGTATTTGCCAAGTCCTCTGTCCCAACAGAAAATGATTTCCATTAGTGAGGGCGCCACCAGTCCAAGAAAAGAGTAGAAGAAAGCACCCTCTAGTCCGATCACTTGTTCGAGTTTTGGTAAGGACGCTGCAGCAACGACTGTAAATAAAATATTTATTTGAATTAATTTATGTGTTTCGTGAATTCAAGAGAACTCAACTCAAGAACAGTAAGATGTCTAGCTACCACATATTCGGAAAAATCTTTCCATAGCCATAATAAGACTTTCGATTGCATAAAATAGTTATTCAAAGTAATTTTTGCCATAATGAAATACTTTACCGGTCAGAGCTGCAAAGAAGGCTCTTATAATGGCTTGAGCGTGGTTGTGATACTTCTGAGAGACCTTCTCTTTGGTGTTGCGCCAAACAATTTCCATGGGCACATAAAACTGTAGAACGTAGGTGAAAAATATTGCCAAAACTATAAACACTTTAGCCATCAACGCTGGTCTGAAATCAATTACAAATTTATTTTGTTTTACATCACTTTTGGTAACAAACCCCGTAAATTACTGTGTTAAAATGTTTTCTTACATGTAAGTTTTAAAGTAGTGTTATAGGGTTATATATATATGTTCTTTCATATGTATACTTTCAAATAATAAAATTTGTACAATACTACAAAGCTTGAATTATGTACATTTCTTCTCCACTCACATTTCTTGTGTAGGAAGATTAATGGTAATACTGCCTTCAGCTTTGTCACCATATCTTAAATAGCCCAGTATTCCCATAACCATATAAAGCAGCACCACTATTGCCATGGTAATATTTAGGACTCCGGGACAACCAAGAAAGTGCTGAGGTTTGGCCATGGTGTTTTCAACTGGCAACACTACACCGATCCCTTCCATAGCAAATATAACTGTACTGGAACAAAATGTATATACTGTCAATGGTTCTGTTACTTATATCTGTAGAAAGAAATGTAAATATTATTGATTATTTAAACTACACGCATTGTGGTATCATTTAGGTTTTCGTGAGTCAAATATTCTATTTGACCATTGACGACATCAAGATATCAGTCAGAAGATTAATACATTTAATAAATATCTTAATAATAATTAAACGCACTTACCCGATAAAAAGCGGCAATTTACCAATTTCTACAGACATTGGTTGTGAATCGAAACTTGGGAATTCAGAGCAAATGTAATAGAGACAAATTAAAAAAGTTAACACTAAAAGTACATTAGCAAATCCAGAAAAAGGTGCTATATATTTTAAGTTTTTTATCTGTGTGAATATTAGAATTGGTACTAGAAACATTAGGCAGTACATGGTTGTTGTAATACCACTGTCAGGATAAAAGTGGTCCACTATCTGAAAAGATGTATAAAAAATTAAACTTTGAAAAAAAATTTTTTAAATCAATCTAAGAATTTTAAATTCAGTAATTGAAATATAGCTTATACATTTTGGATGTTAAAATATGTGTATTTTAATTTAAAGATTTATGGTCTGGGGATATTAGTTAGGAAATAATTTAATAATTTCATATATAATACATATAACATTAATTCAATTTATTACCTGTTTAACGGATTCCTCTATTAGTATGACATATACTGCGCAGGCGCCAAGAATTGTGAAGGCCATCGCCCAATCTATAAATATTCTGAAACGTATGATAATTGCTATTAAATAATTGACTTTACAATATAAAACGAAATCATATTTTTTATTTATTTATAGGTATCTATTCGAATATGGGTTAATGATTATATTAAGTATATAATGACGGCTTTAATTAAAAAAATATTTTGGTTATGGATACCATGTAATTTACATGTTCTCTATTTTTAGTGTTGAGTAGGAGGAAAGTATAATGTGGGTACTCTGCGATTATTGACGGAACTTGAATACGTGCCATATTTTAGTTATTTTTAATGTCGTTAAGCTATTTCATCATCTAACTGCAATTATATTTTTGGAATTATTTCGATAAATTCTTAAGAATCAGACTACATTATTTTGTAAAATAAATTATTTACAAATCTTGAGGCTTTTACTAAATATGTAGTTGTAGAGTGATTTAAAACTTTATTGTAATAAAAACAGTTATAATACAAAAAGTTACTACAGATCTCTAAATACATCATTGGCTGGGTTCGATGTATCAATTAACTTTTATTAATTCCAATACAATATTCTTTCATTGATTAATTCTGATAAAGAAATGGCGCATTGGTTTCCATAATTTTTTAATAGAGGAGATATACGCGTAATATAACACAAAGTGGCACAGTAGCATGAAATACGACGCATTTATTTCACCTCATAGCTCTTGATAGTTTTCGAAGAGGCTGGGGTCCTGTAGCAAATACAGCTTCCACTGTTTCAGCATATCCCAGCGATGGGACTTTCGTTACTCTTGATACATCTTGTGATGTTTTCACCTTTAAAAATAATATTGATATACATTAGGAATAGCGCTAACTTTAAGAACGCAAAATTTCTTAAAGTTTAAGAGGTCGAAATAACGATGACTGTGAAGAGTGAAGTCAAACATATATTTACCAATAAATAAACACAGTGAGTGCAAATATATCCCAGTATTACTGTGCCAAATATACCGACGACAGTCCCTGCGTTCTTGAATGCTGCCGGCATCGCTAGGATACCTGAACCGAGCGATGATTTGAGAAGATTTGCGAACGAACGGACGTCACTGAAAATTTTATAAAATTAACAAATTAATAATAGATAATAATAATAATAATATAAACATATAAGGCAAATAACAAATATACATATATATTTTATCGACCAACTTCTACGTTCACAAAGAATTTAAAAGTTCATTGATTTGTCATTGACATATATTTAATTCTTTGTCACAGCCGCGTTCTTTATCATCACGAGTTACGGGTCTCTACTAATAAAATGAAAATGTTGAAATTATAGAAATTAATAGCAAGAAATTAAGAGGAATAGTTACGTTTGTGTAAAATATAATAACATAAATTTCAGGCATTCTGCCGATGAATATTAAATTAACTCATTTTATTTGGTGCACTCACGAGTTCGGATGCTCCAGCTTTCTGTTCTGGAAGGGATCGTAAGCGTCCTCTATCTCAGTTTCTTTGCACTTAGTGTTCATCGTGTTGATGGATATTGTTGATGGGAAGACGGCATTTTCAGTGATCACAGCCCTTTAATAAAGTTAATAGGAGTCAGAATTACATTAAAATCAATTAGCATTCGCTTATTAAATCAAAAAAAAGCATACAAATATTTTTAATGTTTGTTAACACTGTACATATATTTAATAGTTTCTATATCAATATTTCAATGTTTTCAAACAAAGGATTCTTAAACCGATTATACAATTCTTAATTAAGTTTATTATAAGTTATAATGTTATAAAATAATGTTCAGATTCAATCAGCGATTTCAAAGACTCCTATGATAGGAAGGTTCTGCGGAAACATCTGGTTTAGTCTTTACAGGGTTTACTTTAGCTTTTGTATACAACTAGTATGACCTTACGTCTTTGTAATGATGTCACTTAAGGAAGGATGATCTAAGCAAATAACACGTGTTTAAATGTTTAATGATTGATCAATTACCGGTTTACAATTTCTATGTTTGGATTTTCCGTGATAAAGATTGTATGATATTTCCCCTATTCTGTAGGACATCTACATATGTGTTAATATTATTTATTGTAAAAACCTAAAACTTGTAGGTCCCGTCACGTATTGCTGTGTTTTAGTCGGAGAAGTTAAATCAATTTCAAATTATTTTAAATTTATTTAAATTGTCTGTAATATTAAATTTAATTATTAAATTAATAAATCTTCGCACGTGGGTTATTAAATGCGACAAGGGAAACGTATTATATACAAACTTTTGGCAGTCATACATGGACCTTATTTCAAAAAGTTACTGTTCAAAACAAGATTTGAAACGTAAATAATAAAATAAAAAAAAAAATCCTTTTAAAACTTCTCTAATATCTTTCTTTTCTTTCTTTAGCATCGCTTTAACGCTGTCACAGAAACAAAAATTGATTCATATAAAATACGTTCTTGGCCGGTTATCTGTGCTGTGTATTAATATCAAGTTAACAATTTTCTAGCATCGTACCTTTACACATACTCGTACACATATATGTGTAAATAGCTGGGATTAGTTAATTGCACTTAAAAAGATTATTACAATTTGAAAGTTTTATTGTAGTGTCTTAAGTTAGATTTAAATCAAATTATCAAATCTGGTATGTAGGTGATGCAGAGATAAATTACTTTATTTGCTTTCGCTGTCATGAGACAATCATCATGATATAGTTTATCTCGCAATAAACGGTTTTACTGCATGCCTCAATGTAGAGAGAAGGTTAGTAATATTTTGCGGAAGTAAATAATAAATAGTTAAATATCAAGACGATTTAAGTTAATTCATAGTGTAATTTCAATAGCAAGATGTAACAAATTTTTAATTAATTGACAGACCAAAATAATTTAGTCATTTGAACGAAATGAACTTGAAAGTCGAAAAGAAAAACCAAATTGTAAATAATATTCTACTTCTTTAAAATGTGTTTACTTTTTATTTTTGTATTTGTGATTGTGAAGATCCTTCGTGAAAACGAAAAATTTTACAAATCTTACTATTTTTTACTTAAATTCAGAATGATTTGTTTGGTTTCATCAATAGTTTATTGAAATGAGAATAATTATAAAGCACTCGTCATAACGAATTCTTATCTTTTAAGTGTTGATACACTAAGCGAAGTAAAGTCTTATTAGTTGATGCTTAAAAGATTAAACATTTTATTGTATACATATAATTGTAAGTATTAATCATGTGCAATGCGGTGATTGTAAAATATATTAGATCAGAATTATTTAATTAAAATGTATATTTTTTCTATTATCACTGCAGTATAGATAAAGGAAAGTAATTGTAATTGTATAAATGTTTATTAAAATTTTTGTTAATAGTCTGTGCAAATAGATACATAGTTTAGTCACACTAGATTTAATTTTTATTTTATTATTTAATTTTACAAGATATCCTTTACATAACGTTTGATAAAATTCAGACTAATGAATTAACAAAACAAACTTTTTAAGCCATAGGAAATTATAGTTATTACAGTGCTATTAAGTGGTACTAAATCTTTATAAAATTACCTTTATATTATATCCTTAATAAAACTATTATCAGAAAACTAAGAAAATAACAGAATTATTACCCTTAGATGTGGACACTACAATGTTTTACACCAAACTTACGTTTCTCTATGAATGGCTGTCATACATATATGTTCATATATATAATAATAATTAATTTGGCACAAGATCAACATTGAGAAAACACGCTTCAAATTTAATTTTATAACTTCCCCTTACAATGTAATGTATTAATTATTGTAGCGTAGGTTGTAGAAGTCATGATTACAGTCAATTAATTTGAAAAAAATATTTGTAATGTGTTACTTAAAAAATGTGGACCATTATTTTATATTAAGTCGTCTTATTAACCTTAAGAATATTGACCATGTATAAAATCTTATAAGTATAACTGTATGAAAATTCAATTTATAAAAGGGTTTTAGAAGAAAGCCTTAGGAAAAAATTGTGAACCTTTAAAATTACTGTACTCTTACATTTACACACATAATTATAATAAATTATTTTCTGCCACTGATTTTTATAGTTTTTAGGTTTTCAACTAATTGTACAAATTAATTAATTATATTTTTTATATTACAAATAAAATACATTCAACTTTATGTAAGTATTATAATAAGTATTATAGTTAATACATATATATCCCTTGGATTTTTTTTTAAATCTCATACAATAATATATTTTATTGCATCTCTCCTCTAAAGTGAAATCTCAGAAGCTATATTACAACGATATTTTAAAACACTTGAGAATTCCAACGTCTGTTTCTTTTTTAGAAAAATATAAGAGATAATGTTTTTTGTTTTATTTTTACTTACCCTTGTACATAGGTCTATTTGTCCTTACATATTTTTAAAGCATTACATTACATAAGTAAAAGGTTTCAATAAAGTATTCTCAGTGTTGAAGAGTTTTTGACGAATTTTAATTTAACAATACTTATATAATTATTATAATTACACATTGCACTTGTCTTAATGTGTTATATCCTCGGAATTCATTTTCCTTTTCAAAATTCTCTTAACTTAAAATAAAACTATTTTTTTCTAATTTGCATTGCGATTTTTTTTTGATTATAAACTGCGTGATCACGGTTGCTTTAAAGTAATCGAAACAATCGCGAAAGTACTCGCGAAAATCTTAGATCTCATTCTCTTTACTTTGGTTGGTAAAAAAATATATTTTCCATCTCGATGTCTCAATATTTACATAATTTTATGTAAAAATTGACCCTTGATGCTAAAAACTATCTCTGACAACTAAAGATTATAATTATAATTTAGTATTGTAAGATTGTGGTTATCAGTCGTAACTATTTAAGTAGAAGGCACAATAAATGGGAATTCTGTTTTTTATTTTGAAACTTTTGTATTGTATTTAAATTCAAATATTTAGCTGATGAATTATTATCTATGATCATTGGGTAATTAGAATCATCATACTTTGATCATTGGATTCATCATAATTGGAAAAATAATTTTCTTTCTTAATTCTAACTTTTTTTGTACTTTACTTTTGTACTTTTTTGTATATTCTTTTGATATTGCGTACATTTTAAAAATCTTAATATTGTACATTGAATTGTTAAAGTATAAAAAAGAGTCTTACCTATTTGGACAAAAAATGTTTGTACATTACCATGAAATGGTTAAAGTTTCTAAGGAGTATTGTCATTTTGTGTACTATAGGCACTGAAAAATATAAAAATATTGGTGACTCTGTTTGTGAATGTATATATTTCTTCAGAGTCTATTTGGACGAATTTTTTTTTATACTTTAACATTGACTAAATAATTTCGCAGTTGATACTCGTGTGTTATTAAGAAATATTAAGGCATATGTTCAGATCGCAATAAAATTCTGGTAATATAATAAATATTCTCTATCATATGTGTGTTTTCTTTAAAAACAATAAAGCAATTTAAATCTATTTAAGGTACTGCACTGTACTTCATAGTATAGTTTCAGCCAGAACTTCCGAGACGAAAGCTGTCAGAAGAAAAGTTTTGAAGAAAGCACATTCACGATCTATGTATTTTCATTTAACTGCTGGCAGCGAAAGTAGAAAAGACTATTTACATTTTATTTCGATACACATCTTTAGTTTTCTTAATTATTTTAGAATATAAATAGTTCTTGCCATACAATTTATTACGTGTCAGTCTTTATTATATACTTAACACTGCATTCTACGTCTTTACGAAATAGATTTTATAGCCTTGGACGCAAGCCATGGCTCTTTTCTTACTCCTGTATCCAATTAGGAACGTAAAACTTCAATAACTTTAGCTTTGTGCGCATTTTGTAGTAACATCTCTCTAATAAACGATAATTGTAAGCTATAAAAAATGGTTTTAAGTGATCGAAATATATATAGTAAGCAGATATTAGTCATTAAAATTTATTTTATTATTTGTAGTTCAATAAAGGATTTGTCTTTAAATGCATATCTTTTTTTTTGAATTGAAAAGTTTTATATGTATCGACATGTTCTTTATTGCTTTGCTTAAAAATGCTTAAAAAATTTTATTGCTTTGCTTAAAAATGCTTAAAAACTCGTTGGTTTGCTTAAAAATACCCAATATCCTGGTATTCAAATTCGGGAAGTATGAAACAAGCAATTATATTACTTAAAATGCAAATCTGACAAGAAGTTACATTGTTTTCATTATAAATATAGTCTACAATTTGCTTATTCTACAAAGACTATATACAATTTTGATCGTTACGTGACTTTAATAATATTTTTTATATTTATAGAATTCAGCACGTTTGGATCGAGATACGTTAGATTAGTATGTAGGTTAAGTGTTTTTAAATGTTCATATTTAAATGTTAATATAAAATCTCATTGTTGAATCAGAGTAAGTGAAATATTAAAAACCATTTTCCTGTGTAACGTCTTAATCAACATGCAGGTACGTATTAGCTTAAAACTGATAAGGCCAGATTACTTTTTTCGTATCAAAGATGCCTTTTTTCGTAGTCTATTTACATTTAGTTAGGAATAAGATTTAAATTTACACATATTTTCAATATATATTTTGTGGAAAATAATATCCAAGTACCTTTATTTCATATGCATTAGCGTATTTGATTAATAATTTATACAAATGGCAACATTTATAGCCGAAACCATGAGAATTGATTAACATATAGAGATGCAAGTGTTATCGATTATATTTAAAAAAAGGAAATTTAAAAGATGTTAATTCAAGAGCAAAATGTCAATACTTACGTGGAGCTGAACTCCTTCATCTTGTAACTATTAGCCATGATCACAAAATTCACAAATCACAATTTTTCATACATTTGTTTACGTTCACAGATCCGAGTGTGTATATGTGTGAGACGTACGCCGGCGCAATGATTGTGAGCGGCAAAACGTCTAGCTAGCCTGTGGAATATTTATAAATATATCTATTAAAGGTTTTGAAAATCCGTGTCGGCTGAACTGAGCCGGATACGTTTTACAAATACAACCTTATCACGCAGCGGTTATAAAAAATATAACCTCTGATATTTGTTTCAATTAAAAAGAATACTTTTTGATTGTAAGATTTTGTCTGACTTAAAATAGGTTCAGCGAAGAATATTTTATAAGTATTATATCTGTTAAAATGTAGAACTATACATATGATTAAAAAGTAATGTATAGATTTATTTGAAAAGTGAAATTAATATCTGTTATCGTCGTTTTAAATAGTCGATTATGATCCATTAACAATGTTGATAGAATATATTTATTATACATAAGCAAATTAAAAATTTGAATACGATGCAATTATAAACGACATTCCATTAAGTGTGTCTCAAAGTTGGCCAGACGTCTTTAAATTATCATCTTATCATTGGCAATAGATATTAGGAGCTACAAATTAAAATAGAATCTTTGCACGCGAATGACGATCGTTGTACTGTTACAAAAGAATACCGTGTCAAGGGCTCGAAGGGTTGACATGAAGGTACAATTTAACCGGGAGGAAAGAAAATAGTATCCAGATATTTTAATTTATTTTAAATTTTTAAATATACCTAGTTCAGTTAAAGAAGTGACACTGATATAAATATTTGTTATGTACATGTTGATGTCTATATGTAGGCTGACGAACCTAGTTTTGGTGGTAAATCAAATATTAAGTATGTCATGCTTTTTTACATTGAAGATGTTTTCTATAGTTCTAGTCAAAATATGAATTAAAACCAACAAAAATCAAACGAAAGGCAACTAATATTTAAACTCACCATGCTTACACATTTTTGCATATATTCTATTCGTACGTTAATGGATTTGTGTCAAATGTTTTTATGGTAGACAAATTATGATTCTCATATAAATTAATAAGTAATAAATTTTATATATGATAAAATGTTATTTTTTTTACACCTACCCATATAATATTGGGACATTTTCATTATATCACCGTATTTATTGTTAAGTCACCAAAATCAATATATAGAATTAAACTAAAACAACACCACAAAGGTCATGATCTTTAAAACCAGTTAAGTTAATAATACACATCAATAATAAAAAGAAAACAGGTTCAATTCCCGTGTTAATCTCAAGCAAAGTTGTCACTTGGCAAATATTGTAATGAATGTAACATTTACTTGAAAGGAATGGCGTCACTAAAAACCTGTTTGGTTTTCGTAAATTCGCTTTATGTAAGAGTTTAATAACGTAATGTGTAATTTTAAGAACCAGTTTGAGGTCTGTAATTAAGCTTAGAAAAACAAGTCCATTCTCAAAAGATTTAGCTTGTAAAGATTGTAAAATAATAGAACCTTTTTGTAAGTTAAAATACAAAGCAAAATACTTATTTTAAGCACATTGAAAAGTAGGAGAATTATATAATAAGATCAAAAAAATTGTGTCTGGCTTCTTGTTTGTCTGTCTCTTTTTACTTTCATTTTAAGACTTTTGCAGAAACAAAAAGGTTAATTACAATAAATTTTAATGTAATTATAAAACTGTAGGTAACGTTATATATAGATATTAAAACTCGACGCAGGTGGGTTAATTTTAAGTTTGGGATTACCAAATTGATCCATAAAACGAAAAATACAATAAAATGTACCTGTAATATAATATTAATTATACATACATACATTTTATATTTATTTATACAATTAACAGTAAGTATGCAATTAAGAAAAAAATACTTAATTTATAACAGTGTATTATTTAGTGTTTATTCTATTATACACTTAGAAATTTTTTTTAGCTAACATTCCGAAAATTACCGTAATGTAAATGGAACAAAACAATACATTAAAAGTAAATTAGTTGTAAAGGTTTCTTCCACGGCTAATTGAGAAAAGAAACAAATTACTGATGTGTTATGTGATAATAAATAGTAAATTTCCATTAATTACTGTTTTGGTAATAGAAGCATTTGACAATTTTTCATATGTAAAACTCTTATAGTATTTTATTTTATTGTTATATAAAATGATACTGATATTCTAAGAAAGTGTGGAAAGCAAAAACGGTGCTATTGCGTAAAAATTCATAACAGCTGCAAGAATGTAGGTCATGTATTGTCTCTCGCTAGTTGATGCTCGAGGCTTATATAAAAATCAGTTCTGTTGATTTTGCTTTCCATATCTGATTCTTTTATCTTAACATATAAAAACATGTGTTTACTCACTGTTGGTTTTTATCTTAAGGATTATATTAGTTGTAATGTACATAACTTGATATATATTTATATAAGATGTAATATAAAAAAATATGTATTAAATATTATATTTTTAAATATATATTTTGTATGACTCTTTCATATTTCATTTCCTTCCCATCACATATCTAATCACTATTAACTTTAATGATGACGGCACAGAAATAAACAAGTTTTGTTTACTTTTTAAGTCAGGTCCAGACAAGACATTATATAAATCAGGAGTGTTGATATAAAAAATATCTTTCATATTTATATATATATATATTTTCTCTGATCACCTTCTTGCTAATAAATTATAACGGTCATAATTACACAAACGCGTGTTAAATATCTTGGTATACTTCACGTGGATTACAATTATAAAATATTTAAATTTATTCAAAGCAATTTGGATATAATACTCAATGTTGTAAAAATTCATTTCCTGCTTAATTTACTACCATAAGCTTTTACAATACTATTCTAAATAGATGTTATAATAATGGTATATGCTTAGGTTTATAAATGTAGTAAAAAAAATATTACATACAAAGTTTAACATTTACATTTTAAATGATATGGAACATTCACCACAAATATTTAATTCAATAAAACATATATTTAGCGATCGCATCCCTGTGATATTATTTATAATTTTCATCTTTGACAGTATTTTAATAAATGAAGCAGCAATTTTCAATTAATATAAATAAAATAAAAAAATGGTTAATCTGTAAAATACAAGGCAGTTATTTTATCAATAAATATATATAGCAAACATAATGGTATTTACTTTTACTCAATATTTAATCACACAACATTTATATAACTTATATAAAAGATGAGCATGCTAAGTACATTCTCATCTGAAACTGATCTTCTCTCACAAAACCAAATTTATGTTGATTTTGTTGATAGGTATATTCAAATGGTATATCATATAATATGTGAAGATGTTTATTATTGAATGTGCTTCAATCTCAACATCTGTACACATTAATTTTATCTGAATTGAAGTTTTAACCTTTAAGGGGTAATTAATTTTAACATTTCTAAGATCCTAAATACTATTTGTAGTCCAACAATATTGATCCCTATTTTTTCAGGTAACAAAACTCATCGTCATCAAAAAAAAAAAAAAAAGGTAACAAAACTCCTGTAAGTTTAATAAAACCTTTTTTTAATATTAATTAGGTAGATAATTTTACCACTATTGTTTTTAACTTTCTTTTGAAACTATTATTACGCTTAAATAGAATGCTTTTGATTGATATGATAATAATATGCATACCTTCATTTCTAAATGAAAATATGTTAAAGAAAGAGAAATACATCAGAAGCGGAATTTAAGTATGTGACAGTGTTGGTTTGTTTCATGTGTTGCTTTATGCCTTTTAAAAAATAAATTACCATTTTGTTGATATTTACCTGACCAGAACATATCTATCATTACCTATTTATTTACTAGTTTGGAAATTGCTTCACTTGCTTGCTTCACTTCAACTCTTCTTCATCTGTTTATATTCATCGAACATAGCTTATTAAGAATTAATATGTTGTATCTATGAACAGGATTAACCCCGGACTCATAATTTCAGTTTTTGATACGAGAGCTTGTAATATGCGAATAAATATTATTATCTATCCATAAAAAGTTGTCGCCTATCTTATATTTCGTGTACGTAACGTGTCTGGGTACTATACTTTTTTTTTCGATTGGCCACAGTAGTAAACTAAACTAAACTCTTGTTATTGTTACCAATTAAACTTTTATTTTAATAATAAAAGCGAGTATTTCCTTTATATTTTTAATAATTTTAATAAAAAACTGAAAAATAAAATCCGGATGTAAAAGTTTTGCTAAAACAGTTATATGTATGTATAGCATAAATGTCTAATTTAAAGACAGAATTATATTACTTGGTTATACTTTTCATTAATAGTAACTATAAAGCAAACTTTAAACTTGTGAATAAAAAAGTATTTTTGTTGTATTTATTTTACGTTAATACCAATGCGAGTCAATGAATATAAAATCGTCTAGATTCTGCACGTGGACAAGACTGTCATTGTATGGCTTGTATCTTGTGATTACTCAAGGTTACGGTAAAACGTGATTCGTAGTGACGATATTTTTTTATTCTTTAATTTAACACATGTTGTGATATTCATTGTCAGTACAGATATTTTAACTTAATACAATATTTTTTTTGGGAAAACAATTTGTTAATATTTTAACATTTCATATTCATTGTATTAATATTTAGGTAAAGTTAAAATAAATAAATAATTGTTGCCCTAATATAAGTTTCTTTATAATTTATTAACTCATAGTGACTTTTCTTTTACTTTCTCCATAATGTCGAATATGGTGACCGTTAAACCTGATACCAGGCTACATATACCAAATATAACAATCAAGAAGTTCTTCCATAGGATCCAGTTAAATTTGCCCAAGTTATCCCACCTTATAACACTGTCTAATATTCCGGGTATGATTAGTCCTAAGATAGAGTAGAAAACTGAGCCCACTATGTTGATGATTTGCTCCAATAAAGGAAGAGCCATGCCAATTCCACCTGAAGCCAAACAGGTTTTAAATAATAAAAAAATCAGATAAAAGTTTGTTTCCACATAATAGACTTTGTTACGAATGACTTACCACAGAAACATACAATGGCAATTCTTCCAAATATTTGAGCAATATTTTGGTATTTTTCTTTGATGTAAGGTTCACTCACTCTAGTAACAACGTCTCCTACTACATAAAAATGAAGTGGATATGTAAAGAATATTGATATGGCTATAAAGATTTTAGCACATATTGCGGGCCTGTAAAGAAATACAGCTTTTAAACACATTCTTATTATTATATGTACATGTACATATAAGAAACTTGAAAGAGGAAACAGAAGTTTTCTTTAAATCTGGCAAAAAATCATCAAATACATATGTATGTCTTGCCTTCTTAAGAAAAATTTATTTATAATAATAAAGATATTAATCTTGGTTATAAATTATTAACTAATCGTAGTAGTCAATGATTACCAGTCGTCCATAGGTAAATTAAGCGTAATGGATCCTTGTAATTGATCGCCGTATCGCAGATAACCAAATAGACCCAGCGTAGCATACAGTATCATGATAAAGGTCATAGCAATCATCAGCACCCCAGGGCAGCCTAGGAAGTGTTCAGGTTTCTTCATATTATTCTCAACTGGCATTACAACGCCAATTCCCTCCATTGCAAATATAACTGTTCTACAAATGTTTTTATTGTATTATGTGTAAGTATACTTTTAGAGTGAAACTTTCATAAATCGCGATAGGTTGTGCTGTTTGTCTATTACATGTCGTTTAACACCTCCATGCGGAGTAGGGCTAAAGTGAAGGCAGTTTTGATCATTTAATTAAACAAGTATTGTGCTCGGATTTTAACATCATATTAAGATTATCTTTAAATGATAGCATTTTTAGTTTGTATTCCATAAACGAAAGAGATAATTAAATTTTATTTTAATTATTTAAATATATCGGTTTCAAAGTTTATTAATAAACAACATATAAACAAAAATTAAGTTCATTTGTCATATCTCTATGGCATATAACATCACTGATAATTTTACTCAGACAAATTTCGGTGTATGTTTTTAAAGAAAATTTCATATAGCAAATTGTATAACTTGTTAAAGTTGTCCAATATTTGTAAAGGGGCAGCTTCGTGTAGTTCTTTTTTATAAATAACATACATTTATTATTTGACTTATTATTAACAGTGGGACAGTAAAAGCCGTCATAGAATTTAATTATTATACGTGTAACGTGAAGCTCTTTACAAAACGAAACACTGCTCTTGTCAGATCTTAAACACATACTCATGTACTTACATTCTTTAATAGTTAGTAATTACATTATCAATCGTGAAGATTTGTATTAAAGTATTATGATGTATTCACGGTGACATTCAAAGAGATTTGAGATGTTATGATAAGTGAAACTAAGGAGAACTTAATTAGATTAATATTAACTTTTTACATCATAAATATACTCACGAAAGGAAAGCAGGAAATCTTGAAGGATAACCAACAATTCGTTTGTCTGACATTATAATTTCATCTTTGAAAATATAGTATAAACATATACAAAATGTAGATATAAGTAAAACGTTTGCTATTAACGACATCGGTGCTAGCCATTTTAAATATCTTATTTGTACCAAGAAACACAGAGGTGGAAGTAACATTAAGCAGTAATATTCCACTGATAAAATATAATTCGGTAAATACGTGTCACAAAGCTGAAATAAAAACACTTATATAATTGGATTTTAATCTACTTGCATATTTTTAAAGCTTTATCTCACCTGTTTTATTGAATCAGCTATAAGTACAGTAAATATACAGCATACTCCGAGGTATGTAAGGAGTAAAGCAATTTCAGCGAATATTCTGTAACGATATCTTACATATAAATATGTACGGAAATCCAATGTTATATACAGAATGAATGATAGCATTGTTTGGGTTACACATAGCTTAATAAGCAATTCGAAATAACTGGTGTGTCATCTTCATTAAAATGACATATTAAATTTTGAATGACGCTACTTCGCAAACAATGCAATGTAACAATTAATTACTTTGATTTACTAGCAGAGCATGATTATGGAACATTTTGAAACAAATAACGATTATTTTACAATGTTGTCATAGAAACTAAGGGTAAATTATTCATTTTTTTTAAGTAATCGTATTCCTCATACGTAACTCTTAATACTAACTTCTATAACTTCTATAATAACGTGTGGTAAAAGTAAATAAAGATTACTGATTCTAAGCTTTACATAAAATAACAACGTAAGGGTAAAATAAAAAAACTTCTAAGAATCTGGAAACTATGAAGAAACCTCTTAATTTTGCATTTTTATTATGCAAACTGGAGACTCAATAGGACTTACCCTGCTGCTCTAGAAAATCGACGCAATCTTTTAGGTCCTATACTAAAAGCAACTACGCAAGTTTCTGTGTAACTTAATAAAGGCTTACGTGCTGCCTTACAGCAATCCCTTGAAACTTTCACCTGTAAATATAAGGACTATATTAATTTAATGTAAAGTTTTGTATCTTCAGTTTTGCAAATAAGTGAAAAAACATGCACGTATGTATCAAATGATCATGACTAATGTACTTCAAGAAGGAAAAAATATTCATGACCATTTAGAATCGGACGTTGTCTATGAAAGATAAATATGAATATTATTTTATTGAAATGTTAATATTCATAAGCAGCGTTAAAAGCAGAATGTACGAACATAAATTGATTTTTTTATTTATTTTTTTGTTTTGCTAAAACGAGGCGTTTAATTACGTAATAATTAATTAGTGTAGACTAATTACATAACAAATATCTTGATTTTATGGAAATATATATTTTATTTATTTATTCATTTGTAAAAACACTTAACAATGCAATATATAGTAAACGTTAAAGTCCACACTAGGCTAGGCCTGTATGATTGTTCCAAATTTTCACAAACATGCCGATTACCGTACGTTAACACGTACAATATGCATTATTTACTATGAATTCAAATAGAGCAATAATGTTACGCATAGTTAAATTATGAAAGTTGAACTTGATGAGATAAATTTACGTAAGTCGGATGAAACAACAGTGGTTCAAATATTTGAATAAAAAAGCCTGACTTTTACAATGATTTATGCGCATAAAATTTGGTATTTTTTTCCATAATACTTAGTTAAAATTGAGTAGCCAGTATAATATAAACAACTCCATAATCTTTGGAGTTGTTTATGTTTGAAAAATAATAGAAATTAAGATCGGTACAGCTTTTAAGGTTTTTAATGATATTTACGAAAGTCATAAGCAAACAGTTTATGATATTTACCGATTTCAAAATTGGTGTCGAAGATTATTAAGCTAAAAATTTTCTTTAAAACTGCAGAAGAAATTTGGAGAAAATTGGTGTCTTTAAAAAAAAACAAATACAAGCAAGGCTTTAACGCGATACATTGGGTTCTGAAAGGTATCAAATTTTTAATTTTAAATTTTTATATGGTAGAATACTGCTGATGTAGTCAATTGATTAATGATCATCTGCTGACAATACTATAAGTTATATCCATCTATTAAAAGATGTTGTTGTTGTTAAGTATATAAAATCTATTAATAAACATGAATTGTCAATTTAATTTCTATTTATGTCATTTACCAAATAGTAATATAAGCCCCTATGAATCATATCATAAGAAAAAAATAACAAATTGAATATAAACTATAAAATAATATTTAAACCGAAAATCATTTTCCTATAGTACAGATATTATTATTCTTCTTTAGTTTAATTCATATCCAATAAATTGAAAGTGATTCTTTTAAAGCCTTTATAGCCTTTGTATGATAAAAAAAATCCTACACAAATAATATAGATTGAAATAGTTTTCTATAATCTTAATGACAATTAAAGTGAAGTGATGTGTTTGCGTAATTTAATTAGAGCATCATTATTTTGACATATAAATTGATTACTTGATAAGTCTAGTTAATCCTCTTGAGTACTTACAAAGATATGAACAGAGTATGCACATATGAATGCTATGAGGATAGTTCCAACAAGACCGACACCCCACCCGGCATTGGCGAAGGCTAAAGGTACAGCAAGTATACCAGATCCGAGCGAGGATTTTAGCAGATTGGCTAATGATCTTATATCTCTATAAATAATTTTAGAAAATAGCTTAAGATATAATTATAATAATTATATGTTTTATAAAATTTATTTTCGTTTTTACAATACAAATAAAAGTTATATATAAAAAAAAACAAATAGAAAAGTAATTGCTGATCACGACAAACTATTTAAAATGTAAGAGAAAATTTCATGAGTGTAATCAAGATAAATTTAAATTCAAAAAATATTACTGCGTGATAGAATAAGATCAAGGAAAATCTAAACACACTGTAATGAAATAATACGTCAAAAGATAAGTACATTTTTATATTGCTAGAAATAACTTATGCTTCTTTAAATCTTATTATGCATACCTAACAGACCAAGAAAAGATGTTCTGTAAAATACTTTTGAAGAAGGCTCTGTAAAATACTTTTCAATAATAATAGATGTAGGAGTATAAAAGTAAAATTTTCAATTTAGTATTATCAAAAATATATTAAAATTTTTAAACGACTTACGAATTTGGTTTCTTCACTTTCCGATGTTCAAACGGATTATAATCCAAATTTTTGTCTTTATTTTCCATCGCTAACAAATATTATCAACATTAAACGAAATAATCACAAAAATAAATTAATATTTTCCATAGCTACACTCGTGTCCGCGGAGTAACACAGTTGATCTCATACGACAACCTTTGCCAGAACACGAATGTTAATGAATATAATCTAGGTATTTATGTAAAGATAAAGACAGATAAACTATGTACATAAGTAAAATTGAAGAACCTTAGATTATTATTAGTAGAATAGGAGGAAAAATAACAACTAATACATTTAACTGATCCGACTTATGTTATTTTAAGATTTGATAGTTGTGATAGTACTATTGAGGCGGAGAAAATAAAAGGTAACCATATATAATTGATTTCATGCTTGCTATTAACTGAATGTGATTAAATGAACAAACCAATATAAATTCAACATTTTATTATAATTTCAATTATACAAACTATATATTTGATACACTATATAAAACAAATTTTACCATCTAAGCATTATTCATTTTTTTTTCTTAGGATCTGTATGATGTCCATAATGGTAACCGTGCATCCGGACACTAAGGCAGTGAGACCAAAAAGAATGATTAAAATATTTTTCCACATAATCCATTTTAATTTTCCCAAGTCTCCCCAACGAAAAGCAGTTTCTACGACGCCTGGTATTATAAGACCGAGGATTGAATAGAAACACGATCCAACAATGTTAATAATTTGTTCCAGCAATGGTAATGCGATACCGATTCCAACTAAAAAAAAAACTGTATTAAAATATGTACATAATTATAATAATAACAACAAAGAATTCTCGTCGTAAATTTTCGTCACGGAGTGTACTTCACATATTAAACTATAATAGCTTTGTGAAGAGGATTCCGTTCGACTTTGGCTAAAACAATTTAAACTAGCTGTATAACAAAATAGTTATACATATAAATATATGAATATATTTGTGTAGTTTTGCTTGGTTTTACAGTTACATTCTTACAAAACCTAAAGGTTACTGGTATCAACTGAGAAACTTTATTAAAATCATATATAAGTGAAGTGAAAATTATTAATTTTTAAAATAATTATCAAAGCTTACCACAAAAACAGACACCCAAAGTTCTTGCTGAAATATCAGTGATGTTTTTATAATTATCTTTTATATAAACATCTGTATACTTTTTGAATATGTCATAGACTACGTAAAACTGCAACGGATATGTAAAGAAAATTGATAGCGCTATGAATATTTTCGCACAGATGGCTGGCCTGAAACAAAAAGATTAAATAGTGTGTGAGTATATTAAATACTGTGTGTGAATTATCGTTTATGTAATAAAATTTCATCGTTTCAAGTTGTGTGCTGTCAAAAGTAAGTTAAAAGATAAATTGCATAAATCTATCAAACCCAGTATTTCCAATAAACTCTTATTATAATCAAAAAGCAATAAAACCCTTTTTATTCACTCTATATATGTTGTATTTCTGTTTTATTTTTGTTTAATATCATTGGTATGGAAATGTTAATTTTAACGACATTATTTCTAGTAGAATGATAAGGTTATCTCATAATTATAAAGATTAGAAAGAAAGATATTTCATTTAAATATAACTGGTCAATATGTAAGTATATCTATTCTTCTTAAATAAATTATCAGTCTCTCTTGTGATTCTGAAGGGTACAAAAAATTATAAAACATAGCCTTGTAAATCTAGTGTTAACTAGTTTTTCAAGGAAGTATTAAGCGTACAATAGTTAAGACCGGTAAAATATCATTAAAATATATATTTATAAATTTAAAGACTATAAGACAATTAAAACTTTAACTAGAATAGGACACAAGTTTTGAAATGTTATGACATTTTGGTTATGTGTTCCATACAGTTTTGTAATCGCTACTTTGTTATATAAGTACTAGCAAGTACTAAATTGTATTGTAATACTTATAGTATTATTAGGTACTTTACTGTTTATGTAACAGAGCAAAGCACCAAAGAAACTAAATTTGTATACATACATATAAATATATGTATGTTTCTGTAATTTCAATAATTTGATGTACATTAACAATTAAATCTATATTTGTAACCAAACCCCCATATACATTTGTAACTGTATTTATAGTCTTTGAAGAACGGCTAATAATTTATAAATTAAGAACCTTAACTGTCTCTGTTGTGTCAAAGAGGAGAACGGGAAATAACGTTAACTCTTTTTACGTAGGCGTTTATCATAGTGAAAGGTCCACTTTACATCATGTTTCTATGACAAAGCTATGGGATTTGATGCTTAATAATTATAATATATTACTTACATATACTTATGTACTTGGATATCTAGTAATTTGAATTAAATTATTTTAACATTGCTACTTAAGTGGTAAGGCAGTAAATACAACCCAAATATATTTTCAAACAGGCACCACGTTTTGTAAAATAAAAAGATGTACTTGTAATTTCATTTTAATTAACAAGAAAATTCTTTTTGTTTTCTGGGCAATTTCTGTCATTGGTTTAAGTATGTCTTATTACTAAATCGTTAGTTTATATTTTTAGAAGTTAAAACCAAATTTTTGTATAATTATATTCTTTTGAAAATAATACCTTTTATACATATTATAATCATATTCCTTTTCTTACTTAAAATATAAGGGTGTATGTAAAGTTACTTTCCGGTAACACAAACAAACGCCTTTCTTTGAAGTGCTTCATAGATTACGACGCAGGGTGTAACAACAGTGCTTTTATTGAAAAAATACTTTTAATAATAATACAACGATAACAAAAAAAGCATACCAATCTTCAATAGGAAGGTTTAGAGTAATGGATCCTCTCAAAACGTCGCCGTATCTCAAATATCCGAAGAACCCCAGAGTGCTATAGAAAAAGACAATAGCTGTCATCGCCACCACAAGGACACTGGGACAACCAAGAAAGTGTTGGGGCTTCTTCATGGCGTTTTCAACTGGCATCACTACGCCGATTCCTTCCATCGCGAAGATTACTGTCCTGTTTATCAATATAAAAAAAAACTCATAAGTAGCAAACCATATATACAGGGTGACTGGTGAATTACTATCAATATTTAAGGAGAATACTCGGTACATGATTCTCATTCGAATTATGTAAAAAAAATAGGTACTTCATTTTTGACCAAATTTCCGTAAAATAAATAAAGTGTGGACACGTTCCAAGTGTTCCAAGTGTGGATGCGTGCGGCGGCGTGCTGATACAACACCACGTCGCCGCACGCGTGTGTGTATGTGTGTGTGTGTATACCCAATCTGTAGGGTGTTCACATGATGCGTAATTAATTACATAACTTTTGGTTAACTTTGCTTAGAAGTTTATTAATATTTATGTTATATTAATTTTTATTTTGTCATATATGATCGTCAAATATCACGTCCTCAAGTATCGATAGTAATTCACCAGTCACCCTGTATTTTCAGTGTTATTTTATATATTCTAATTCCTTACTATTTTCGTTTGTTATAATAATTTGTTACTTCAAATTAGTTAAAATATTGAGTTGATTATCTTGAATATGTTAAAGCGATTATTATGAATATAATTTATAAATTCTGCTGCAGAAAAATGGCGACAAAATATATTTATAAGTTCTTTCCTTTGTTTTCCAGAGAAAACACACCGAAACCCCAGCTTACCCAACTTCACATACTTTTTAGCATATTTAGTGTCATTAGAAGTAAGGCAAGTTACCATCATTCAAGATAAATAACCTATCTTGAATGATGGTAACTTGCATTTGTTTTAAGCATTAATTTTAAGCAACTTAAAACATTTTGTTTGGCTGGACGAGACTTTGCTGCTGTTTTTTCAATATAAAGATATAAATTTATAGGTATGAATATCTAAAACGATGGTAACATTTGTCTATTTTATATGTACAAACTTACGAAAGAAATGCGGGAAACCTTGATGGGTCGCCAGCAGCTGTCCTTCCTTCAAAAGACAGGGGACTTCGAAATATATAGTAAAAGCAGATTAAATAAGTAAGAAACAAAAATAAGTTTGCTAATATTGAGAAAATTGCTAGCCATTTCAAATATCTGACTTGACATAGTAAACATAGCGGTATCAATATGATCAGACAGTAATATTCCACGGACAGGTTAAAACTTGGCACGTATCTATCAATCAGCTGGAACAAAAATTTGTTTTCCTCAGAATTATAGCTATTACACATTTAATGTATAAAATAATTTATTTATTTTAAATAATGTGGTGTAATTCTACAAGTAATGAAACTAGTTAATATCTGTCATATTTGTTGTATTAGTAAATACGATTTAAAATATTATAACTGAGTATTATTTATTGTAGATAATTAACATTCAATAAATCTCAAGATATTAGCTAGCTGCTATAGTAGTTTAATCTTTATGGTACTCAAAAGATAAACTAAACCTACCTGCTTTATAGAATCCGATATAAGGACGGTGTAAATACAGCAAACGCCTACATACGTACATAACATTGCCAGTTCTGCAAATATGCTGAAAACAAAGAAAAAATATAATGTTTAATTTGTTCAGATGGCGTCAATCAAAATCTTAATTTATGATAGTAGCTAATATTATAAATAAAGAATTACGTACAATGCAGATGACTCAATACGGGTTATTATAAATACATATTTAATTATTTTTCTAATATTCTTAAACATAATTTTCTGAGATGTCATCATTCATGTTCATAAATAATAAATTGGTTAACGAGCAAGCAACAAAAGCATCCTAAACAAGCATTTTACTTTATGTATTACATGCTCTTCATAAATTTTGAAGGGATTTAAAAATTTTGTGGTTTTGAAGTTATTTGGTTGCAATATTGCCAATGCAATTTGTTACTAAAGTCTGTGTTGGAAATATTGATTTTTTTATCTATTATGTTTATTATGTAGTATTATAAAATAAAAAACTACGTAATTGTTTTTACTTATTATATTATTTTATGCTACTTAGCTAGTGTTATTTAGGTTATTATAATTTTCTAGTCTGGGTGTCGTTGCACAAGTTGCATGTCAGGTAAATCTCAATCTTCCGAACAGGTCCATGATGCGTGACAGTTGGGAAAAACATTTCTGGATTGAGTAAAACTTCCAACCAATAAATGTGATAAATTCAAGATTATTACGTATACATTACCAGAATCATGTCCAAAGGTTTAAAGGTTTTTATTCGAAGCGAACCTTTACATTCCCGAACGCATCCGAAGTGCTTAAAGCGATGACGCTTGGTTTGTTCACTTTTAGGCGGGAAAATATTTTGTGAACACGACTTGTATTTTTGTAACTTGAATTAAACTTATTTAAGGTGTATTAGGTTAGGATAATAATTAGTTTTTTATAGTTAAGGTTTTATTTGTTATTTAAAACGACTGGCTTTATAAGGAAACTATATTTTTTAATGATTTTGTTAGAATCCTAATCATACATATATACATTTTTTTTGAGAAGTATTCCCTAACTGCGGATACAATCCATGTCCAAACAAATCAAAAAATATTATGATAATGAATTCATAATTAAAATTCTTGAGATATCTATTCATTTACATTCCTCGTTGACACTGAGATTAGTTTTGAATATTATTTTCATACACTTGATAAGACTATAGCTTGTTTAAATATATTCTACAATGTTTAAGGTTCTTAATGGAAATTAAAATTACCTTTCATGACAAATTAAAAAGCTTCCCAGCCTAAAGACACCTGAACGCGTTTTATCGTTTTAGAAATTATTGGAATAGGGAATACAAATTTGGGAATTAACTAAAAGGAAAAGATGGATTAAGGGTTCAGACAAAAAATGTAATTGTAATAATTAATATACTTTTTGTAGTACTTTTATAAGAATGTGGTAATTTCCTACTTTTTCCAGCAACTATCTACATGTGATCCACAAACCTCAACTTGTCTCTATGACCTAACAAAAATTTAATAAATTTGTTTTTGTATTTTTTGGGAAGCCTTTTTTATATTTGTTTTGATTAAATATTAGTTTGTTCTTATTTTCAATTTTAGAAAGCGTATTCAACTGTTTGTAAGAAATTTTACAAATATTCTCCTTTCATAATTTATTGAGAATGTTCAAATTTTTTTTAAATTTCTGTTTGTCTATTCAATTGCAAAATTGTTAGCTGAAAGTTTTATAGTACATCTGTAGCTGTTTAGAGAATGACAGTGATTCTACCAAGTGGCACAAATCGCAGATGCGTGTATTTAATTATAGTTATTCAGTATAAAGAGTCAATTTTAAGTAAACGATAAACCATTTAGTCTTTGTATTCATCGTGTCCTCACATTCAGTAATATAAATACACTCAAAAAAATATAACAATCCGTTATGTGACTATGCCTACAATTTTTCGAATATTCCGGGGTTTCTTAAAATTTTTAATCAGATTTGTTTTATTACAATTCATGAAATATCACATATGCCATGCGCCAAAGGGGATATATGTTTTAATAAAAGAATTTTGTTATATATGAATTTGTGCACCTAGTCATTCAGTTAGGGTATGAATTTGTACACCTAGAAAATAATTTTATGAAATAACAATTAAATAAGGCAAAAAAAAATTAACACTGGCATATGGTACCTTGCAACATTGGCATATGGTCTTATAAATTTTGGTCCATTTGCGAAGGCGGATTTACAGGTCTCTGCGTAACCCAGGAGCGGTTTGCGTTCTAACTTACAACATCCATACGATGTTTTAACCTGAAATTGGATGATTTTTTTTTAATAGAGTTTATGAAAACTAATGTGGAAAAAAATTCTAGCAGATTGGTTCCTTATTACAATATTTAAATATGTCTGTACAAATAACCTCAGTTGGTCTCATAAACAAACCAAATAGATGTAATCAAATGAGAGAATGATAAAGTTGTAATCTTTAATTGTAAAAATTATAGCTCTTGTGTTAACAGACGTAAAAGATAATTGATATTCGCAATAAACCTAGTCAGTTTTTATTGTTTCCGCTATTGTAACCACAGAACTTATTTTATTTTGTTTGTTATAATGTTAATTCATCTATAAATATAATAGAAAGTATTATGAACAATTTTTTTTTTCTACGAGGGGAATCTTTTAAAGACTTCCTGCCGCGGGGGAAAAGCGACAGGGGCATGTGGGATTTCCACCCACTAAACCACCTCGGCGTTCTCTGCGCTGTGCGTAGACTAGTGAGCGGGAACGGCAAGCCATACTTCCGCTCACTACGCACGAGTCCCGAAAGGGACTCCGCCTTCGGCAGGGGTATCAGTGGCTGACCACACCACCCCTCCGACTCAAGAGCAGCGTGCCGGGAACGCCAAACACGCCGCTCTTCCTCTAGCCTATGTTACCCGGACGCCGGCTCCCCACCGACGCCCGGAGGCTTCCTCACTGGGGAGGCAGGTCGCGAGCATAAGCCCGCTGCTTTCGAAAGTATTATGAACAATAGTTGAACCTCAGATAACTTTAATTACTTACTAGTATGTGAACGCAGTGACCACAAATAATTCCTATTGCAAACGTGCCTAGAAGTCCAACTCCCCAGCCCGAGTTTGAAAAGGCTAAGGGTCCGGCCAGCAGTCCCGAACCCAAGGAGGCTTTGATAATATTCGCAGTGGCTCGGATATCCCTGAAATTATATCAAAATGATCTATTAATCATTTTTCTGTTACATACATGTACATTGTACATACACATTCATTATCTTCTTGCTTTTTTTTACTAAACCTTGTAACCTCATAAATATATTTTAGTTATTAACAAGAAAACTGTCTTGATACTTGGTGCTGAATTTTTATATTTCTATTTGAAAGGTTATGATAAATTTAATTTAGTAATTATAAATACAAGAAAGCATATTGTGCCCTTCCAAAAAAGGAACAAAAATATTCAAGGACTTTGTTTATACGATTCATTTTTTTTTCTTTTTTGGAATGTTTATAATTGAACTAATTAAAAAATATATTTAATCTATTTTTGTAATGATTACGGGTTTATTAAATCTATTTAAATGCGACAGATTCAGAACTACATAGTCAGATGCGGCCATTGTTAACGCAAAAAAGGCCAATTATTTATTATTTATAGGAACAATGTTTTCTACAATTATATTTTAAAGATTAAAACAATGCTCAATTAAATGATGGTATTAATATTTAACGCAGAATGAAACATCATTGGCTGGATTCCTGAAATATTGTGTATTATGTAATATTATGATTTTGCGTGTCAGTCAAATTTTAAAATGAAACAAAAACTTAAAGAGGTTTTTTAAATCCAAGAGCACTTGTTTAGTTACATACATATATACATGGTTTTAAAATTAACATTTCCATTATAATAAACACTTACGAGCTGGGTTTTTCAACAGTCCGATGTTCATAGGGATTGTACTCTTGTTTATCTTTCTCCATGGTCACATACACACAACACTGCTGTGTGAAAACTATAGATAGTGTTCGTGATTTCTTGTATGCGCAACCATAATGGATAATACACAATTGTGGGTAAGCCTTACTTGATACCTTTTATTCACTGATAAGCCAATCACGCTGTTTCACTGTTTTGCTTGAACTGATATTTGCTTTTTGTTGTAATGAATTGTTGACGTGTCTTGGAAAGGATTAAATAGGTGTACCGTACTTTTTGTTATTAAAATTTTTCCTTTTGTTTCCTAAGAATGTCACATCGGATATATGTTCAAATATATTTATGTGAACGAGAAAAATTTTTCTTTTCCCTTATAAACTTACATATTTTAAACAAATGTTTACTGCGTCACAGTCAATAAGAATAAAATAAGAGAAGGAATAGTTTGAAGTATTTTTCCGTAGTTACTTTGTTTATTATTACACTAATTTGTGTAATTCTAATACTTAAGCTACTTTTCTTAATCCTTAAGAGATCAAGTGTAATTTATAAAGAAGAAAAATACCCATAAAAGTGTCGTTCTTTCCACAATGTACGTACGATCATAAAACTATAAACTATAGTAAACACTATCTGAGGTAAATAACGACTATTAAATTTTTATTGCAGCATTTAATTTACCTTAGTATGAAACTTGATTTTTATGCAAAATTTTATAATAAATACACAACACAACCTACAATATCAAAATAATAATATAATAATAGGATATTATGCCTGTAACCGTATATAATATAGCGGTTCAAATGACGAATTAGTTATATTCAAACGTTTGAAAGTGACCAACGGATTAAATAAATGTTAGTAATTTATGAAGATAAATTTCTGGTTTATTGTACAACTAGTAAACCCGGCGAACTCCGTTTCGCCACCAGAAGGCTTTTATATAAAATTTCGTTTGGTGATTAAAAGATGAAGAATTTTTTTGTTTTATATTTGAAAAAAAAAATTTTATTTCATTACACAACAGTAATGAATTCATTTCTATTACAAAAATGAAGTGTTATTTAGTTGAACTTCTCTAAGTAAATGAAAGTGGTCCAAAGTAGATACCGAATCGAAGTGTTATACGTGTCCGCAAATTATCCGTTTCATTGAAGTGGTCCTTTGTAAACCAATTTTTTTGTTTTTTGGTCTAACTTTAACACAAATAAAACGGATGGTTTCCAAATTCGTGAACACGCAAAATATAACGCCCATGTAAAAAACAATGACTTTCTAAATTTATCCCCCAAATACTAAATGGTTTTAAGAGTTCAAACTACAAACACAATATCGGTTTCTCACATGAAATTAACTGAGCAGAGAACAATGAGTAGCTGTCAAACAATGTACCATGCACCGGCGCCATCTACTTAAAATATTGATTTGTAGTACATGTTATGTATGATGGCCCTGTATGTGAAAAAAGATTTTCCCGCTTTTCTGTTGAAATTTTTTGTTATAAGCCTCACGGAGCCCGAGACCTTTCCAACGAATGCAAAACCGTTTAAATTGGTTAAACCGGACTTATTTTTATATAGTAGATCTCTTACAAATATGTAATTGTCATCATTACGTCATTACATATCTGTCATTATACGTCAATTATGTTTCGTTATACGTTTTATAGTGACTGACGTTTCATGTCAAGTCCCACGGGAATACTGTCGAACGGGGTAAAAAGTATTTTATTTTATTCTATTGCATTTTCCTGGTTCTAAACTACCTCCCTGCCAATTTTTAGCTAAATCGGTTCAGCCGTTCTTGAGTTATAAGTGGGGTAACTAACACGACTTTCATTTATATACATATATAGATGTGTCATTTTGTTATGTAGTTGGGATTATTGATATAACATCGGTAAAATAAAGTGTGCATGTATCAATTATTAGATGTTGCTTTAAATATTTTGTCTTAATGTTATCTACTTTCATACCGATTTCCTGTCATCAAAAACAAATAAAAATTACTTCTTTAAATTAAAAACCCCTCAAAATAACATACTATGTCTTCAATAATGATATAAATCTTTTAGACGAAAGAAGGTTTTTTGTTTTGTTTAAGGTATTTTAAGTTTCAATATTATAAAATTTCAGATAAGGTTATATAGATACCTATTTATATTTAGATACCACCTATACCATTATTTTTATGTGTTATAGTGAAAGTCAGAAGAAAATAGAGTTTCTTCAAATTATCCTTTATTAAAGATCTATGTGGTTTTTTGTTTAATTTTTCTTAATTTAAAATATTAGACATTTTACCATAAAGAAAGCTTTAAATATGAATGAAATGAAATAAAAAAAGAATGTTTACTTAACCTTTTATTATTTAATATAGACGCAATGTGACGACAAGGCCAAACTCGTAAACGATTGTAATCTGTGTTTCAACTTGCCAATTCACTCACTTATTAGAAATATGTAAGAAATTATCGTAAGAATGTTGTTCTTAAAGTTTAGGAGAGAAAATTACTAGTGTAAAGGAAAAATGAGTATTTTATACAACAGTTATTAGTAATTCTATCACAAATATTTTCTTCACCATTTCTATTTAACTCATCACACTTCACCATTTATATTTAACTCATATGAATAAAAAAATTATTCCGGTTATTATTATTGTCTGTATCCAAGATAAAATCTTTGGCTTAAATATTTACGTCTTTACATATATTCCATTGTATTTATAAACTCTTAGTCGCAGTTAACTGAGTTTAAAAAATAAATGAGGTGCCATAACAATTAGTCTCACTAAATTCTATGGTCGGTTCGAAATAATTACAAACATATGTGAGGTCAAAACATCGACTAGTATGCATAGGCGAATAGATATATTTTGTTATATAAAGCTTCTTCTGTTTAAGGCTTTTGAATATAAATAGACTTTTCTTTCTTCTATATGTAACCTCTAGGAAAGGTTTGTTTGGGATTTAACTGATTAAAAGGCGCTTATTTTACTGTAATCTGAGCAGTGAACGTTGTCGTCTCCACTGTTATGTAATTTTATTTAGATGGAGTAACTCATTAGAAACTTCTAATGCCTAGTGGTGATATTTTTTGTCTGTTTGCGTTATTTATTATTTCAGATAGCCGTTTTTGCTGTCTGATGTCTAAGACTATAATCATTAAGAATAATAATAGATTTCCCAATATTATATTTCTAAATTAGATCGACATACTTTGATTAAGTTTTAAGATTGATTGATTTGAAAGCTGATTTTTTTGTCCACCGCAAAATTGTTTCTGAGCTAACTCTTCACGAAAATATCCATAGATTCAGTTATGTGAGATTATTGGCTCTTTAAAAAAACCTGTGTAATGAATATGTGGCTAAAATCATATTTTCGAATAATTACTTCACGCGTGCCAATACATTCGTTGAATGACATTTAATTCCCAGGGTTTCGTAAAAGGACGTTATTAAAAGAACATATATTAAAATAGAATCTATTCAGTGTCTTGTCTTTTATTGTGAATAAAGCGTTTTATTTAATTAGCCCGTACTGTAATTCGGTGATTTAAGATTAAATTGTGGTCAAAAATATGAAATTTAATCGTTTTGTTATATTTAAGTTAATTGTCATCAGCCTATCAAAGCCCACTGCTGAGCAAAGGCCTCTTTCTCACATGGAAAAGGTTTGAGCATTAATCACCACGCTTGTTCAAGACGGGTGGGTGATTTCAAACTTATAATCGTGAAATTATAAGTCCAGGTTTCCTTTCGATGTTTTCCTTTACCGTATGTCAGTGATGTCTAAATACTCTTAGAAAGTACTTATGACTCCGAATAATCACTTTGGTACTTGCCTGGATCGAACCCACACCCTCGGCAATGAGAAGCGGGCCCTTTAACTGCTAGGCCAACACTGACTATTAATTAAGTTAATTATTGTGATGAAATAAGTAACACCAGAAGTAGTTGTAATTTTTAATTTCAAAACAACACTATACAATTTTATCTAAGTACAAGAAGTAGTAGCAATATTAAAAAAAATATATTCATTATCATTAAATTATTCTGCCTTCACTCAAACAATTCACATTACAAAATCGAGACACTTTAACACATTAAGCAAACATATAAATCAATCACTCAAACACTTTAAATAAGAAGCGTACAATTTAATTTTATAGTAAGCATTTAGCTATCTTCATCTATAGCGCATGTACTACAAAATTTTTATAGTGCATTACTATATAAATCTAAGAAATGAATATCAAAATATTTAAGTTTAATGAACATTCTAAGTCTGCGGTATCTCTTTTAAATTTAAGCTGTTTCCGTTTCTACTGGAAACACCCAATTTATGCTTGAGGACGTTCAAACACTTGGTAGTTCCGTTTTAAGAACCAAGGATTTCTATACGAAACATTCGGTTTGTTGGGCTGTGATTGAGGGAAATATGCGCTGTTTGGAATTTTAGGTATGACGTTTTGAGATAGTAGAGGGTATCTGGATGTTAATGGTCTAGGAGAAGTTGCTGGTAAGAAGATTTGTGGTGGCACTTGTGACAATGTTTCCAGTCCAATATTGTAGTATGGACCAATGCTATTTGGTATTTGTAGTGTGTTAGGTGTCGAAACTAGAGGGGGGAAGGGCTCACAAACAGTTCCGGAAATTAATGAATCTAATGGGGCAAAGTATATTCTGAAGTTTATGTCACCATAATTCAGCTCCGATTCTAAAAATACAGGCATTCTGTCTGAAATTACCCATACATTTTTGCCTCTGTCAATTTTAATATCACAAGGAAATATAAGACCAATATCATCCTTATCTACAATAGCTGTGTTCTGTGGTTTAAGTTCCAATGCTGAGTTCCAGCAACCAATCGCATTTTGGTCAATTAAATTAAATAGTTGAACACCGGAAGAATCAATGACTTTGGAAGTAGTATGGGTATTTGGGCCACGAGTACCAACAACTTTAAAGTCTTTGTAAGACCCACTTACTTTAGATTCATCTCTTAAAATTCGAGTAGACACAGAAAATTCTGTAAAACTAGAAAGAGGAGAGAAATAAAGAGTTCTATAGCCATCTGGTCCTATGGGAGAAGTGTGAATACCAAAAATTCCCTCAGCACCCCATTGGAAGTTAAGTCCAGCAATATTAAAATCACCAACAAGAGGATCGGGCATGAAGTAGCTGTGACTGAATCTCCACGATCTATTTTGTTCCCAGGAATAAGCTATCAGACCATATCCCAGTTCATCAGAAAAATAAGCGAAAGTGTCCTCACAAGAAAGCCCTTCATCCAAAGCAATATTGGCAATGAAAGTAGTAGAAACAATGTCCTCGGGTCGGAAGACATATCTTCTAATACGCTGGTCCGTATTTAAGTCGTATACATTTATCGAGTATGGGCACAGATTGGTGACGTTAGGATCTGCAAAAAAAAGTTATACCAATAAAAATTTATATCACATTCAAAATGTGTGTTGAAAGTTAAACACCTTTTGAGGTAATTGCTTAAGTCATATTATGTGCAAAAGTTCATTTTATACAATTATTTGTTATATGTATTATATATTTAACTTATAATATAGGCAAATTCTGCAATTTCTTTGTTACTTTTCGATTTATAAAATGTAGATCAAATTACCATATCCGTAGGTTCCAACATCCAATACCCAAAGACGGTCACACTGATCGGCCTTAATCCTGTAAACTGTTGTTAGTCCGTTTTCACAGTCCCCTAATTCGTTTCCTTTGAAACTTGGATATGGTGTTAGTTTCGGTGAGGGCTCGTGTGGGGCATCTAAAGGTATGTAGTTCAATGTAGCTGGAATACCTGCAAAAAAGTATTATTTAATATCACTTACTATTTGTGATAAAATTGCATCCACTATTTGAAAAATATGAAATCAGTAATAGTAAATAATTTGAGAATCTACATAATATAATTGACTTAGGCATTAATGGCCACTTAAAATAAATAAGTTTGAAAGTATTGATATTTTAGAAATATATAAAATTTTTATTTATTTATCTTAAACTTTTGCTCCTAATACATTGTTATATATATATATATTATACAAGAAGTGTGTGAGTGTATGTGTGTGTGTGTATGTGTGTGAATTTGGATTTATGACACGAAGTGTTTATGCGTAACTTATCCAGATATGTTTCAATAAGAGTTATTTAGATGTTATATAATTTTCACTAATCAATAATTCATTTTCATTTAATTTATGTTGAATTTATGTCAAAAATAGGTATACAAATGGGTTATTATAACATCTCCAGAACTGTTAATTTACCTACTTATATAAAAGGTAGAATGTGCTACATTATATTCTTTTTATTAAATAATTAATTTAATCGAGACTTCACTTGAGTAATATTTTATTAAAATTGTTTTGTAATCCCCATAACAATTAAATGGAATGTGTTTAAACCACTTTAGTAACCGGATATCAGCTTATTAGAATAACAATAAATTATTGAAGTAGAAGATAATTATAACACTTTTCACATAAAGTCAAAGGTATGTTGAGGACTGTTTGTCTAATGAATTATTATTAGTTTTTTAAATTAATAATTCCTAGACCTGTAATTTATCAGTCTGTCTGTGAATTCATAGATCATTAATTTATTTGTTCATATAGGCATAAATTTCTACTTTAAGACCGATATATTATTATTAATGATGACCAGTTGAGACTAGAAATTATAGAGCAAAACATTTTATAACAACAGTTCTATATACGCAGGCACGAAAACGAAATCAGATAAGTACTCGCAATAAAAGTAGCGTTACATTTCTCTTCATAAAACGTGCCCTGATTAAATTTATTTATTTCTTGAATTTGCTTCCCGACACATGGAACTTTTATTAATGAGACAAGAAATTTATTGCTAGTTACTTTATGATATTGATAAGTGTATGTATTTTTCGTTACCATTGACGAGCCTAATTGGGATTTGTGAAGGTCATTTTATAACTTTACTAACAGCAAGGTTAATATTAAATTTTGAACACGTGTACTCAAAATTAAGTCTTGAACATAATAGTTTGTACGACATTGAACCAAATGCTTTTATCGTGACGAAATATCCTTTGTTGAGTTTAATGGTATATTCAACGCCCAAAAAATTAAACAATAAAAAAGAAATTGTAGTCTTTGGTCAGTTTTAATTATTATTTTTTTATTAAAATAAACAAATAGATAAATTAAAATAAATAAATTAAAATAAATAAATAAATAGGTTTTGATTCAGATATTGGAACTTAAAGTTAACATTAACACTTCCTATACAAAATTCTTAATTAAAGAGTTTTGTTCTACTACTTTTATTCATATGTACATAAATTACCTTTATATTTTAGAAATGAAAGCAACTTATTTAATTCAAATCAGGGTTGGGGCTAGGTACAAGTATTCCAAAATGTCGGAAGCTGAGATAAATAACCAGCTTGACAACAATCTTACTCAATATTGTGGAAATCGTTTCGAGCTATGTTTAAGTCTAGACTAAATTCAGTTTAAATTTAAAGTAGGTACATTTATATTTCTTTGTCTATGCGGAGTTAACGATTAACTATAACGCCTTAAGAATAGGTCAAAATTTCCTTTGTATTTAAAAAAAATATCTGGTTAATTAATTATTATTTATCAGTATTTTGGTGATTTAAGCTTATAAGTTTAAGACAAAGCATACGATTGTATTAAGTTCAAGTAAACTGAAGGTAAACTTTCGCATACCAACATCTTAAGCAACGTATTGAGTATAAATTACCAAAGTATAAAAACATTTGCGATAGTAACCGGATATAATTAACCACATTATAAACATGTTAAGTAGCGCATCGCATAAACAACCAACGCCCATCACTGTCTATTGCATAGTCCAAATAGTGTAATAATTTTTCCACGCTATTGACTATATATAATTATAAAAGTTTTAAATGTAATACCTAACTAAACTAATTCTATAAAAAGTGTAATTAAATTTAGTAACCGATTAATTTAGTATTATAATTTAATGATTAATTATCGATGAATGCAAAAACTCGAGGGTGTTGTGTAATCGTATATGGTAAAGTAAATAGGTTTGATGTTGACACAATTTTTATGGCATTTAAATAAAATAATTGATTTAAATTATTTTAAAAACACATGGACATATTGATAAATATACCTTTAAAATAGACTTCCAAGAGATTTATATTCCGTTCTCTTTATTACTTCATATTATTTTCATTTGGAATGAACGTAAAAAACTTATTATACCTTCAACACTTCTAAAATCTTTCATTTATTTATTTTTGGCCATGTTAGAAGATTTATAATCATAAAAGCTGTGTATAAAAATGTAAAATTGAAATATAAGGAAGAATTTCCTTAAAATGTAAGGTATTCATTAAGTATAAAACAAGAAACATAAAAAGTAAACTAGGCATTTGTCACAGTTTTGCTTTTTTTATTTTACTTATTATTTTATAATAAAAAATTCTTAATCAAATCTAAATAATATGAAAGTAATTATATTCTTGACTTTTCTATGCGTGGTTTATTATTATTTAAGTACATACAATTTTATTCATAAATTATAAATTACCTGGTAATGATTGAGTGATTCTACTAATTCTTCATTTCTGTAATGTATGTTTGGAGATTTTTTGTTAAAATCATGCTGGTTACTGCCTTAATTCACTTATTAATTATGACGGCAAATTGTTAAGAAACTTATGTAAAATGTACTAGTATTTTAATAATAGTTAAGTAAAAAGTAACTAGGTGATTAATTGTTGGTCAATATAATTATATGTAGGTGGTTACGTTGCGTACTACTCGGACACATGAGTTACTGACAGAATTTGCATTAACGTTATTTGCATCAACGTAATTTAGACTGATATCGAGAATTACTTCAAGACTTTGTGGTGACTAAATTATAAAGATACCTGAGATGCCTACGTAACAGTTACGTAGAGAGTTCAAAGACTGTAAGCGTTATTATATTATATTCACATTTTTTATGTTGTATTAGCTATTTATTACATAATTTTTTGCTATAATAAAATATAAAATATAATAGTACAGTCATTATTATAAGAACGTGTGAATATTATTTGGGATACCTATATGTACATTTTCTTTTCGAAATTGGTTTTATCATTAGAAATTGATGTTTTGATTTCATTAAGTTGATGATGTAACTTAATTTATAAATTTTTGAATTAGTAACATTTCTTTCATTTGTTTTTATAAATATAAAAAACCATTTATTTATCAATAAAAACTTACCACCACGCCATCTAGGGACACTGACGAAAAGCTTGTTCCTCCATCTTTCGATACCAACAGGTAAAGCGTTTTGAGGTATCAGAGCCCCTGTCTGCAGAGCCTGCTGTTTCAGGTACGGGTCTGGATAGTTCCAGTCAAGAACATTCCAAGAATATAATTCCTGAAGCTTCACTGCCGCAGAAGCAGCGGCAATGAACCCGAAAAAGAAAAACAGTTTTCCAACCATATTTTATCTGTGAACAAAAGTGATGTTGAAATTATGAATTAAAGTGTTGTGCAATATCAATCTAACACATATATATATTTATTGTTTAATATACTTAATTATTCCAGGTAAACTTTATATCGAAACTGATATGTTTGTATGATTACAAATAATGTTACGTATTATTATAGATGCTTCTAATTTGTTAAAAAAAAAACATTATGCACGAAAAAAAAAACCAATTTTGTATTTCAAATTACTATTTATACAAAATCACAAAAATATTTTTGAAAATATTTGGTTTACATTTTGCTGAAACAAAATAAATTGTAACGGTTTTAATTTCACTCAATATTACGTTTAATAAACACAGTATATAAAGCAATTAAAATTTTCAACTTTAAGAGTAATAATTATTATACGTACATTAAACTTAACCGCACAAGCCTATCTGGCTGCCGGAATAACACTGCAACTTGTTAAGACACCCCTACTATTAAATATCCACCCATCTCCACCGACACTAAGTCGCAGCTTGGGGAACGAGAAGTTAGCAAAATTGCGTAACATTTTTATTTTGCAATTAGAAATTTCAAACTTTTTCAAAATGTTGACTTTATCAAATAAGGAACTAAAGTTGTTAGGTTTGTTATGCCAATGTTAATATAATTGATGATTGGATAATAATTTTGAAAATATATTTCAAAATTTTTTACTTAGATGTTGGGATCATGTACTGTCTTATGATGAAGGTTAAAAAGTGTTTTTAAAAATATATCACGTTAAAACAAGCCTTATTTAGTTGACATTGCTTTCGTTCCTTTTACATTTAAATTGCGATCTTGTATTACATAAAATAACTTTGATCTCAATGTTTATTTTTAAAACTGTTTTTGGATCCAATATTTACATTTAATTTAATTTTATCCAATCGGCTTGAGAGTAAATTAGGCTTTAATAACCTTCTTTGATAAAATAGTAATAGGAATGGCTATAACTTACCTGTAACGAATACAAATCAAAAAATCTATATCCCTTCTCAACATCAATAAAGATATCAAATCTTTGCTTAATATATAAAGGGCGATAAGTTGTATATGACATTTGTGTGTACATCTTTTTGTTATATTAAAGAAGGGATGGTTTAGAAATTAAATTATTTTCGAAATCTTATTACTTCCTGATGATATTTTTTCACTGCATATTATATAAATAACTTTTTATTTTTTTAATTATCATTACTTAATGCGTAGGTAATTTAATAAATATCATCTTTTTTAAAATACCTTACTTGTATTTTCATCACTATTTAACACTAAAATACTTTAAAAATTATTGCTCAATATTTTAAGTATTATATTCTTCCAATCATAGCACGTACTACGTAGTCTTAGAATTGTTAAATGTGTTTTTGCCTTCAAAATTAAGCGTTAGCACCAGATTTGACCTTAAAAGTTATAAAGTGGACTTAATCATATTCAATTACTCTGATGAAAATTGGAACAAATATGTAATCGAGCGTTTCAATTATTGATGTTATAATGTTATAATTTCAACTTCTTCAACACAAACAAATCTAATTGATACTGTATAACATCAGTGAATTTTGTAGTTTATACCATGAAAGGTAAAACTGTTTTAACAATACAAAAATAATAACATTATTTTTGTATTGTAAAAATAGTTTTACCATTCATTTCATTAATTTGTTTACGTTTCTTGTGTAGAAACGAATTTTCTTAATACTGTAATATTATGTGATTTGGAGCATATTAATTCGTTATTATCGTCAATAAAACCAAAAAAATTAACATTTATTTACTAATATGGTTATAACTATTCGAAGTAACATTTTAAAGTATCTAGTTTTTATCGTGCTATTAAATTTTACTAATTTTTCTTCTATTTGTTATATATTCTGGTTCATAGATTTATATATTTTATGACATTTAAAAAAAACATATAATGTCAGTTAATTGAGAGCTCAATTAAAGCAAACAATCTGTAATTTAGCAAATCCTTTTTTAATAACTAGAGGATCATATCACACTATTTTAAACATTGGTAAAGACGGCTGTAATACTTGTATAAAGTTCTAAAGTGAATGAATTTTATGCTTCAAACCCGGCTTCCGAACCAAGTAAAAAATTATAGTCATTGATAAATTGAACGCTTAAAAAATTAACTACGTTTACCTTTTTTATTCCAAATATTCACTTAAATCATTCTAGTTATCAACAAAAAAACATGTTCGCGACAGTTTCTCGAGTAAATTGGAATTGATATACATGGTTGTATGTATGTCTGTTATTACTTTTTATGTCTCACATTTCCGTTGAAATATAACACACAGAGCGTTTTTAGTGCAAACGCAATAAACTTGTACTTGTAAAAGGTTTTCATTTCAATCTGACGAAATGACTGTTTTAGATAATAATAAAACCAAACTCAATTCGTTCATATTAATTATTTAGGAATCCCAGTATTGATAATATATGTAGATTTATGAAAACGTATAAATCTAGATGTATTTCAAAACGAGCTCTTCCCGGCTTTAAATTGTACTAGTATCAAGCGTAACATGAGTATGTTACGCTGTATGATTTGTGATGATTCGATTTGTTACATTTGTAAAATTATGCATTGGTCAAAAGTAATGAATCTGTAAAGCATATATGTTAAAGAAAACCAATTCAAACTATGCAATCTTTGCTTATATGAGACAAAGAGACAAAAATTTTGCAAATAATTGTTTTGCTCTCTAAAAGTCTCCAAATGATAGTTTATAATGTATTTCACTACATTCGTAAAACATTTATTTTACCTTTTTGTATTTTTCTATAAATATAATATATTAATAATTTAAATCACCAAAGATTTATTTCTTTTTAAGTTATTCTTAAAGTTAACTTCAAAATTCATAAAATTATAATACATACCCGTAGTAAATAAGAAAATGCAAAACGCTAAAATGCATGCAAAGTTATGTAAAGTACAAAAAAACTAAATCTTATATAAATATGCGTTGGGTACTTATACCATTCATAGTATACGTATATTGTTGTAGAAATTAAGAGAATGTTAATGGCATATATGACACGTTTTTCCTGCCACAACATATATATTTTAATACATGTTTGACGACGCAAGGACAATCAAAATAACTTACCTCTATAATATTCGTGAATTGTTTTATACGTACCTTAAATACTCAAGAAGGTCACATTAGCAAATATCTAGTTAACGGCGAACTATTTTACTTATCTTTAAATTATTATTTTTAATTGCTATATTAACTATGATAATGCATTATATTTACATTTGAATCATATAATTTCAACAGAAATGCTTATGATTTCAAAAATGATTATTTGCTTTTTACCGCGTAAGTTTCAATGATTGTTCTACATTTATAAGGTGGGGAAAAAGTTATAACTCGTTTTTTAGAATGGTTAGAGCGTCGTTTAATTTCTAATAGCCAATTACAATGGAAACTTCGTCGTATTTAAATATTTCTGACATGTATAAATGATAATAAGGAAGTAAGTTTTGGAAATATCTTTTATATGTAGTAACTGTCAGGTTGTCAATGTCGCTGTTATGTAATCCGTTATAATTTCATATAATTAATAATACAGTCGGATATTCTAAGCCCATTAATAAATTATTGTAGTTGAAAAAATTTAAGTTATAATAATTAAAGTCTAGGTATTTCATTGTTTAACACAATTTATGCACGACAGTTAAATGTTGTTGTTTTAGTGAGTGATTTATTAAGAGCTATGTATATCGAAACCAATATCAGCTAGTACACTTGTAGATTGATTTATGATATTTTTTAAATATCCTTTTCAACGTAACCTTAAAATTATTTCAACTTATTACAGAACCAGTCAAAATGAAGAGATGAAAATATATATTAAATAACAACTTTGTAAATAAAACAAAAGCAATGAACGATAAAGAATTCATTTAGGTAGTTTGAAGGCATTGTATCGTGCGCAAATAATAATTAATGCATCTTAATGGCAAATAATAATTAATGCATCTTAATCCATCAGAATCGCTTAGAATATAAACAGACCAATTTCTTTTTGTGTTTTTACTACGGGATCTTAATAGTTTTTATTGATAAATCGTTGAAAAATATATCTAGTATGAACTTAAATTTTTGAATGGAAAACGGGAAACGCTTCGTGTATAGTATGATGATGCGAAACTTGTGCTAAGTCAAACCTTAGTTATAAAAATTGCTAGCAGTAACACAAATACAAGAGACAGTGAGTTAAAATAATAAATATCTTAATTATTGTTCAAACAAAAGTTGGATTGTTTAAGTAAAGGAAGTTTTTTTTTGCATATACAAATGTCCATCTCTTTAAATACATATATATCGAGTTAAAGAAACATATTATCGAAACATAATAACGCTACGCCGCATCATCTCTAAGTGACTTTTCAGATGAAAAATTAAGTGACTACAAGGTGAATATTGTGTGTAAAGAAAAAGTTCTTGTATGTAATACATTGAGGGTAATAAAGTTTAGTTTTATATTTTTACTTTGATCTTTTTATAATATTTATTCGAAGTTGTTACTAATGATGGAAGAAGAGTTCTAAATTAAATAGTTTCGGTATTTAATTGGTATTGTTTTACATATATTTTACGAATTCATTTTACTTAATATTTATGTGGTGTTTATGAATATTTTTTTTAGTTTTTATCTACATTTTAATTTTGATTTTGATTTAGCTAGTGTTATGTAATGAGAAAGCCAGAGTGTTTGGGTCTAATTCAAATTTCGGATTACGTAGTTCAAAAGTAGGACGACATAGATTTTTAATATTATAATTTTTTACTATGTATCTTGTTTTAGTGTAGTCTTCTGACTTTCATTCCAACATTTTTTATGTAAACTATATAATACAGAGCATAACTTATCGGAAATATTTATTCTTTAACGGCTTAATCAGTACAAACGGCAAACCGGATTTTGATGAATACAAAGCAAATAATTATT